GCGTACCGTGACAAATAGGTACGATAGGCATGAAGATAGTAATTAAGAAAAGATTCTCACCTAACGACATGTTATTCAGAGTGCAAGCTATTTGAGGAGATTTTAATATTATAGCTAGGATCTTAAGTCATAACTGTCTTATTAAATTATTACTAGCTTTTACCAGCAGTTATATAATGCGTTCAAGTTGGGTAACTATAATTGACTCACTTACTGAATGCAAAAGTAAATCTTAAATTCTTGAATAATGCTCTATAGAATAATTTATTAAAAGGCAAATAGACTATTTTAGGAGAGATTTAGTTTGGCTTTATAGTGGAAACCTTAAGCATTGGCTGTTCTATATTGTCTAATGGTAATATTTAATACTTTATTAGATTGCTATGGCCTATGCTAACGGTTCTACGTCTAAATTAGTTAGCTAAAACAGTGCGACTTATAGAGTGCAATACGCGTAATATGTTGTATGTTTATGAGAAGATCTTTGCTAATGATTTAGGATAAAAATTTTATTGATAAATTGATATACTTTGGTAATTATGTGTCCAAATTTTGGCTTGTTGTGGCAGTTTTATGTTATAGCGAGTAACTAAGCTTAATAAAGTATGAGAAGGATAATAGAGAAAGGGTAATGTTCGGTTCGTTGCTTAGAAAATTTTTTACTCTTAATAGTAAGTCGACACTATCAGAAGATAATATAATTGAAATAATTTTTTAAATGGCCATCCCGTAAGTTTACGAAACTTAATTTATTTTTTTGTAACGGATTCGATAAATATACTTTAAACGTCTTGAGTAATGATGATTTATGTAAAGGGATATAAAAATCATTAATATTGTAAGATCGCTCAAGATATGTTAAGTAAAGATTTTTTATTTATATTACAGCTATTATCGTTCATCATAATTTACTCTACAGTAGGTTTGCTATAAATAATTTTGCTTGTTTACTATATAATCACGGTATGTTATATTATATAACTTTGGACTTCTTAAAATTTTTAAAGAATTTCTGACTGTCTATATACGGATTGAAATATTATTCAGTCTTCTACGGTATGTGCAGTATACATTTTACGCTATACGGTATGATAATATGAGATTTCATTTTCGACGACATAATGCTCACGATAATGAAATTAATGTAGGCATATTCTTTACTTGTATTTATGTGATTGAGTAAAGTACTGTGTTCAAAATTTGAAACTGTAAAAGTTAATCCTTTCTTTTTATTTTCGATGCTGGCGGTTTAATTGTTGTATATCGATTTACGAAATCTTATTAATTTTTCATTTGGCTGTTATCTTATGGTCAGATAATCAAGGAATTAAAAAGGAGTACATTCAAAAGCAGCAACATTTTATCGCTGACGATAGATTTTACAAAATTAGCATTAGTTTTTACAGTTAATTCGGATAAGAAAGGAATACAAGATTTTTTACCAGCTAAATATCAATCGATTTGTCTTAATGTTGCTTTAATTACAACTTTAGCATTTTCTTTATAGCTTTGTAGTATTGCGGTAGATGGTAATTAAGTAATTACAGTACATCATAATAACAATACAGAAATAATTTAAAGATGGTAAAATCTTTTATCATATAAACTGAGTAAGTTCAAGAACAAGCTTACGTACGATAATTGAATATGAAACTATAATGATATTCCTTTGTTGACAATATTGTACAGTTAAAGTATTTAAATAGCGTATACGTAGGCTACAAATTATGAATCTTAATATTTGTATATCCATTACTTATTTTGAAGTTCAGAATTGTTGTGCCGTATGTAACTTGATATAAAAACTACTGCACTTATTCTTGGAGAACAGTAGAACACTTACATAAGCGACAAAATTGCTTACAATCAGAACAAATTCATTCGGAAATAGAAATCTAAAATTAAATTCATTATGCAAATACTGTATAAAGAATATGTCAAAAGAAAAAATTTATAATCTATATGAATGAACAGCTAGCGAGCTAGCGATCCAATATTCTATGTCAATAAAAAATTTCTATCTACTAGCAGAATGTAAGAAATTCAAACCAATAGAAACAGGGTCGACTTTATCATTAGCTAATAAATATTTACATTAAATTCTACTTCTATACATACAGTAAGTGCAAGCATTTGATGTAATTCTAGATACAATTCTCTTGCAAAGCGTATGATAAGAAGCTACGGCTAAAATACGCGTAAGTATCACTTTAACCATTCAATTATAATCTAGGATACATAATAATCGAAATTTAATTTAAAAATAAACTTTCTTCTGCTGAAGTATAAAACAAGATAACTACGTTAAGTTCGAGCTGAATGCATTTTACGATAAAAGCAGCACACTCTTAAAAATTGATTGTTGCATTCATAATTTAGCTTAGTCCTAGTTTTGGGTTTGTTTAGACGGATAAATATTATAACAGTTGACAAATAATCACTTACAAGATTGTAATTACTAAGGCATCACAAGAACTCATAGCTCCGGTATTAATGCCTTTGCAAGTTAAAGAAGCTATTAAGGTAAGAGATTTTGTAGGTGTATAATCTTTAGTTGTAAAGGAATTAAATGTAAATGACATAAAATTTTAAACATGATTCATTATATCGCAATCTCCTAGGTTAATCTCCAGTGCCTGATTATCCTAAATGTAAACATAAGAAACCCAGTACCAACAACTATTAACATACACAACACCAATTACTTTAGATATGGTAATGTACAGTAGCAAATCTACCTACCAAGTTTATCTGATCTGAATTGAGGCAATTTGGACATCTCCATCTATTCGGTATAGTGTTTGAAATTACACCATCGTCACGATTACCAATACAAGATGGATGAACTATTTGCGCACAAATAGCGCATTCCATTAGAGCCGTACTAGGTCCACCATTGCAGATATCACATTTGGTGTTAATGGGAAGAACGGGCTATAAAGAATAGGTATAAGGTTAGTAATCCATCAGATAAAATTATAAGCAAGGAGCTTATTTAACTTAAAATCTAACATTTACCGGTATGATCTACTCTTATTACATACTGTAGCAATGTATATCTTTTGTTATTAAATCTATTGCCAAAAAAGATGTCATTGCTATATACTTTTAGTGATGTATATTTCGATTGTAACGTTATTTAGGAAACACTCCTAGGTACTTGATAAGTACTACCTCTTAACTCAGAGTAGGTCCTACTGAATACCAAGTTGATTTTTATGCACATTAAATCTGACTTACTGAGATACAAACACGAAGCAAGCATGACTGTTTCATTCTGCCAGGTCCACCAAATTTTTTCATGTCTTTGCAGGTACGGCATGAACTACAGTCATCCCGGATGCATGCTTCACATTTACGGCATCTTGTACGCCGACGAAGGGAAGGCTTAGTTGCATTATGTGATTCATTACCATAATCGATCGTCGGCTTGGTATCAGTAATTATATAGCTTTCATGTTCAGGTGTGACCATGCTGTTGTAATATTTGACTAACATCTTGGAATGAAAGAAAGCATCAAATTATAGAGGTTGGTCAGCAAATTACAATTATCAACGACTATGCAATTACATACGTTTGCGGCTTCATAAATGGAACCATTCAAATGAATCAAAGCTTACCTCTCGTAAATTTGGATTAAGAATTGATATACCAGTTATTGCTAAACTTTGATCATCATCGCAATGTTCCTGAAGTGTAGACTAAGAAGTCATTAAAAATATTAGTTTTTTTCTATATTCTAATTGGAATTAGTATCTTTAAACTATAAGTAAATAAAAATCACATTCAAGTCTTGAATTAATTGAAATGGATTTTCAACGACTTCAGGAGTGGCTTGATGAAATTGTACATTTTTTTCCAAGTTGTTAGCTAAACAGGTTAATCCATCATATACTACCGCTGGTAATCTTAGACGACTAGTAGGTTTTGACTCAGAATTCCTAATCGAATTTTTAGTAACATGATTATTATCAATTAATACAGTATTAGTTGGATTAAAATAGGGCTCAGCAAGTATTGGAGTCGTCGGGTTAAGATAGCCATCAAACAATTCTGGATCCTTTCCCCAATCTTCCCAACTAGAATCAGCCTTCCGTTTCAATGATTGCCCTTCATATTGATCGTGATGGGTTACATTATTTATACCAGGCTGTACATATAATGAGTCATTCGGATGGGAAGGCTGTGATAGGGCCGCTGGTTGAAAGGAATAGCCAAATTGAAAATTGTTATAGTTCTGATTAAAAGTAAACTGATTTTGATCAACAACTTGTTGATTATAATACAGATCCTGCGATAACGGTGATCGTACTATCGGAGTAAAATTACCAAACTGCTGATCTCTATCAGAAATGGAGTAATTGTCGGAACGATAATCAACCGGGTAACTGTATTGTTGATTCCAGTTTGACAAACTCGATTCATGGAATTGATTATACGCGTGCAAGTCGCTATTTCGGAGATAGGGTGGTAACGACTGTGGTACAGCTTGCTGCATAGAGGATGTCTGCGGTTGCACTGCTTGACCTGGTTGTTGTTGATACGTCCGTTGAGGTATGATATGATTTTCCTCGTGTTGATAATCACGCGGAAAAGGACTAGCACTTCCTGAGTTAGTTGGAAAAGGCAATGAAGATATTTTTTTGTTAACATAAGGATACTGAACATCTGATGCGACGACATTTGCTGTATTGGGAATTGGCTCTTGCTCTAAATTATTATAACAAGTTTCATGCTTATAACTTTCCAGTATATCAAGATATCTTTTTGCTGCGTACCAATGTATTTGTCCAAAAAATGGATAACGAAACTTATTTGGAACCTAAAATATATTTAATATTAAAACCTATTTTTACTATTAATGTATTCAATACTAAATTATGAAATACTAGTATATTAGTATCTCTATAGAAGAATAGAAATACAAAACTGATATCACTAAAAGTGAAGCTAAAATTATATGGCATAATTAATATGATGTTCATATGTTTTGTTAATATTATCGACCATTAAAATTATAATTTACCTCAGTCCGATCTTCAATTGCATGTACTTGCAATTGTTTCGCAATATTATAGCTATGTAAAAAATTACCACCAAATACTAACGCGTCAGTTGGAGTATATACTGCATGAATCCAAGCTAAGAAATTGCAATGTTGATAAAGTTAAGACATTCATTTTAACTAAGTTTAAATAAATGAAATCTAGTGGCTCGTAGTTCCAACGCCGGCATAATTATAGTTAACTGCTATTGCCGAAATAGAATAATGTAATTGAACCATGATTGGCCGAAGTTAATAAAGTGGTCGAATCAGAAAATTTGACAAACAAAAAACATATAGATTTCTTACATTATTATAAATTAATTAGATCAGTTGGTATTATACGTGAATTAATTACGATTAACTAAGTTATTGAATTAAGAGGAGTACAGCAGTAATTTAGTAATAGGCTAGAAATAAATTTCTTTTTTTTATTACACAGGTTAACACATTCATACTAATGAAGCTCAGCAACAGTAAATTTAATTCGCGTATTTTGTTCGGTACTTTTAAATCGAAAAACCTCACGGAGACTTATTAGCTGAATTACTGTAATTAATAAAAAGTTCTGATCTAAGCAATGATAGTTATTTCTCGTATTGCTTTCCATTCTCTACACGACATAATAATCACAATAAGAAAGCTTTACAAATAAATAATTTCATTTTACCTGTAGGTATCATAAATGTGTCACCTTCATTTAGGCAAATGCGACTACAATCACTGACCAGGTCACCTAAAAATGTTTCTTGTTGCTTTCCAGACAAGACCCATTGCTGATAGATTTCGAGGTTCTCGTCAGTAGGTGGTATTAACCAAAAGATCTATGACAGAATACATACATCAGATAGAGCTACTATCAACTCCTGGGCTATAGCCAGGAGAATAAGTGTTGCAGTAAATCTATAATTAAAAAATTTTTTATAATGCTATCAATAAATCACATGCTCTTGTAGGCATTTCAGTCCTATTTGATATTGCAATTTATTTACCTTTGAACCTCTTAGAATGTGATACCATACTGAAGTACCGCCAAAATCAATATGAAAATCAGTGTAGCAGCCAGCGACACTCATTAAAACATACCTTCATAAAAGAAAATTTTCTGGATTTCAACATATTTAAAACTAAAAGTAAAGATATATTGAGTCAGGGCTATTTAAGCCATTTGCGTACTTTTTTACTTTAGGATATTTCATATCTTCCATGTTATTAGTAGTTGATGTCTGTTTCATTTTTAATTCATCCGGCCATACATTATCTACCCAGTCAATATCTCTAACCTGCAATAAAAATCAGAATTGATGTATCTGGAGAATTTGCTCAGATATCGTCTATTAATATGATTTGGTAATACATTATATTTATACCGATATAATACTAAATTATTAAAAACTGCTTTTTAGTTATCTATAACATTTGTTATCATGAATAAGTTAACAAGTGAATCGTAAAAAAAGGCATGCACTATAATTTTACTTTCAGAATTAAGCAGTTAACTGATTGTATACTTTTCGTATTTACTGTTAACATATCAGTTCAGTAAGTATAAACTTACGATTGTAGGGGATTCTACAAGTTCATCCAATTTGCTGTGACTAAATTCTAAGCTAATTACATTTAATATTTTCTTTCGCGGAATACTGTTGTAGTATTTAACCCACTGCGTCATGGTCATCTCTGTTCCTTTCTGAGAATTTACATCCAATACATCGATAATCCTTTTTGTCCCTGAACAAATAAAACAAGCAAAAATGAAAGGATTTTAGGTAATTTAGGGTAACAAAGACAAGAAATGTCATGATCAAAGTTTTTTGATAGTTATCAAAGTCTTTTCCACTATAATTAAGTAAGCATGAGTCTTAGGTATAAGAGATATTGTGGAACTCATGATTGATATACTGTAGATGGATAAAAAATATCAATCTTGTAATTCGGTAAACTCAAGAAGTACTGGTCATAGTAATAATCTTATTTGTGTTTATCGTCCTATAAATAATAGGAATAAAAAGACAACACAGTAATGGTTGTAGTTTCGTTGCGTTTATCATATTATGCTATATATGGTATAATTAAAATAGGTATCATATGTCGCATAGACAAACGCAAAATTTAATGTACACAATATTTAGGCTTTTATCAACGGATGTTTAAAGTTAATTATATTAAGCTTCAGCTGAACATAGTTAACAAGTAGTAAAGGAGCACTAAAATGTACAGATTATTGTTAAAGCCAGATGACATTCATGCATCTAATGTACTCGTGCTTAATATGTAAACTGTTCCATAATAAATACTATTAAGTGCATTAGTTTATCCTTCGGATCTTAGACCCTTCTTTCATTAATTCAGTTAATTACGTTGGATAGCAATATAGTAAACAGTATTTACTTTTATTGCTGATACACGGATAAGCTTTTGATCAGTTTAAATTTATAACGTCCATTGTGTGATCACATAGTAGCTAACCGTAGATAATTGCATTGGATAATCATCTCTAAACAGTTAAATAATCTTCTCATTTAAATTCATAAAGTAGGTTATGTCGTAATTAATGTATAGCATAATATTTCAGTTAGTAGCATTCACTTCAATCAAGGATATAGAGATAGGCTTTTCTATCCATTCACTTTATCGCATCGAGGTGATTGTATATTAATCCAGTTTTACAATGGGCCGTCTCAAAGTAAACGATATTTACTTTAGCCTAATTGTGGGCTAAACTCTTTTATAAATTAAAGTTTACAGTATGACAGATTATGCATTTGTATAATTAATGTGATCAATTTTAATTCTCGTAATTTTAAAAATGTAGACCGTACTAACCTATTTCTAATAATATTTCTACAGTATAATGTGTTATATCAAGGGATAACTTCTTGACTTTAACGTAATTTCTTCATCTGATAGCAACGTGCAAGAATCGGTAAGGTTAAAATTGATCGGACAGCTAAGAACTTTGATTGTCGTAATCTAATTATAATTAATTATTATCAATATACAGTCTGCCGTATTTTCTCTTGATGAGAAGGCGGCGTTATTCACCATTAATAGGAATATTCTTGATATTTTAAGCTAAACACTGAATAATAGACTCTGCATGCAACCATGCTATCCCTCAATCCTTACACTGAATTCTACAATCTACGCATACTTACTGTACAACAAGTTATTGACCAATTGGTTATGTAACTGCATACAAGTATACCCACTAATGGTAGTATCTAGCTATAGGCCTCAACGATATCGTTAAAAATGTTAGGGATAATTGGTTGGTGATCCATTGCAAGATCATTCAGTGTGATAAGTACAGAGATTGAACCTAATGAGTGACAACTACTGTGAGATGATTAATTTATGTTCATTGTACAACATATATATGAATTAATACATACGCTTATTAGATAATATAAATGTATCCACCATATTACACAGTGTAGCTAATTAATTATGTATGACTAATTATTTATTCTTACCTTTGATATTGTCATATGTATTTTATTTATTACTGGGTTATTATTGTTATGATGATGATGATCGTTATAATGGAGACAGGTTGTTGTTTTGGCGTTTTTATCACATGTATCGATGTAATAATTTAATTTAATAATGATTTATAGTCAAGTTAGTATGATAAGTACAATTGGTATCGTATAATTCAACTTGCAGCTGGGCTTTTGTGGTGCCCGATATATCCTCTGCTTTATTAATAAACGGTGATTTTGTAAGGAAGTAAGATAAAGTAAATAAATAAATAGTTTAATCACAAGCAAAAGCTTTTGATCTATTATTATCATCTAGTATTATTCAAGAAGTGGACATGGCTAAAATAAACTGCACGCATACATGTTCATGTAGCTTGTCAAGCTCCTTAATGGCATATTAATTAGCATAGTACTTTGCAAGCTATGAACATCACAGGACTTCATGAGTTAGAGATCATCGCGGGGTTTAGACTATTCATCGCACTACTGAAATCATAAACTTTTTGTAATGTTGTATAATACGTATTACAGGATGAATGACATGCTATTAGACAAAAGGAACTAATATTCTCTCCTCAAGATCTTTACTTTGCAATACGTCTAGACTGTAATGCAGTGGATTAATGGCTAGGGTGGAAAATTTGAAAAGTTCGTCAATGAAACAAAATAATCGCGAACTGTACAAGCTTTCTGCAACTTCTCAGATATCCTTGATTTAGTCTGCTACTATCTCAAATTTTTTTTTATTTTAAGTGATCAAAATCTCTCAGATACCTTCCATTACAATAAATCTAAAAGATGTTCTGTAATTTGAACCTACGTGTCCTCAAGCCTATACGGTACATATTTACGTATGCCGGTTGAAGACAACGACTTCAATGCACATTAGTTGTGTCAGTTTTGGTAGTATTCACAGAAATATTTACATAGCCAAATTAAAATTAAAACAATTAAAGTGAATTTAGACGAATTTAGGCGGTGTAAACTTACCGATATAATGTTGAACATCATTGACAGTGAATGTTCTAGGAGGCACTCTAAGACAGTCAAAGGCAAAAAGAAGAGCATGATATGATTGAATTACGAAATGAAAAAAAATAAAACCTACTGCTATTAGTATAACATTGCAGGTTGCGAATCGGGCTTTGTAATTTATTGCTTATTTCAACGGAGTCAACTAGCGATCATTTAAACGTAATTATACACTATGATGGACATGATGATCGAATGCATTTTTCTTTTTTTATTACTTGTGCGCGTCAACGACGGTGCATTATAACTATGCTCATATATCCATCTACTGCAATAAGGTATTTTTTATGATACCAACAGCATCTAGGCATACATATACGTATACATTAAATATTCATCTAAAATTATTCAGCAGATGGAGATGTTAACCGTCAATACGGCATACGGTTAATAATAATAATACTATACGTCCAAATGAAATATGTACAGTATAAAGAAGGACAATGTCTCGGAATATTATAGTCTATTTGTATCGTGTTAGTCACATAGTTAGAATACAATCTTACGTCGTATTAATAAATTGTTCACTGGTCATGTTTATTCAACAACATAACCTATGAGTTTAACTCTATTTTTTAAGTACAATTATTGCAAAAGTTTTTCACGGATAGGAGAACAATACACTACTACTCTATGCTACCCTAGGATCATGCTAGGATGGAAGTACGTCAAGGCCCATCTTGACTTTTACCTGTGCTCTTGATACGATTATTTTCGAACGAATTATATTTATACAAGTACAGATGCTAATATAGGCGAGAGCGAAGGCTGCAAAGTTAACAAGTCCTATCATGCTGTCTTACTATTATACTAGCATACTTTAATCCAGTTCCTTCGCTACTTTTCAGTAATATTGGATAGTCCCATCCGTTCTGTTGTAAATACTTGACATTAAACTCTATTAATATAGTGGATTAAGGAAATAGTTAATTTAACACAACTTATTATTTTAAAGATGATATCTGTACAAGTTATTAAGATTGTAAGGGAAAAAAATTATCTATAGTACTACAAATTGATTCATTGTCTAATACTTTTCAAGATGTACTTTAAATTTTAGATTTTAACTGGACCTTACTGCTATAATAATAAACAATGCAAACGACATGCTGTGCAATAACCTACTGTATTTAATTAATAAAAAAATTTCTTGTATATTGCTTCATAACAGATACACGAAATATTGTACAGTAATATAAGCGTGATATTTGATTAATTATAGTATATTTCTGTTATTATTGTTACTGAGATAAAAATAAACAAATTGCTGTAGATAGGATACCGAATGATGCTGCAAAAATAAATTGTTCTCGTACATTTTTCAATACGAAATAGTTACAATAAAAAATACGTATCATAAGGTCAAATATCTAATACGACTACCTTTAACTTGACAATATTCTATGCTATTTTACTCCCTTCCTTTCATATCCAATTACAGTATATTTATACAGTACGTGTAGTAGAAGAGATACGATTAACCGACTGATTTTTTTTCTCATGTTGAGATAAAGCAAGGACTCGGTTATGATTTGTAGAGTAATCATGTTTTATCCAATTGAATCTCAAGTACAAAGAAATTGAATGTTGCTTTTAATTCTTGTTTTACCTGAACCTTGCATCGCTATGACATGTTGTGATACTTGAAATTTGCTGTCGCTTAATTTACCTTCGATGTGATAAAAGCGACGAGACTCCATATCTTCGTCGCATTCATGATAAAATTTACGTGTTCGATTTCGCTAATTGATCGGTAAAACGGATTATTAAAGATTTAAACAACAATAACAAAAATCGATATGTCATAGACGTACGTATATATATATGTATATATATATACTATACGCGTAATAGTGGATGCAAGAACAAAAAACTTTGCTAAAAATGCTACACGATTAAAGAAAGGTAATATAAATTACAGTAAATATCAATAATCCCATTTTATACCGCAGGGGCAGCGAATCCAATGATAGATTACTCATGCAATTATGATAGGAGATGATTATTTAAAAGAATAAAAAAAAAGGAGCTGGCACAACAAATGACTGCAAACGATGTTTGATTACTACATCATACTGTACATCATAATTATTAATTAGTGAATAAATATATAGTGTAGTATTGTATGTTTCTGTCCCAAAAGCAACAAGTGTAAGAAGTCTTCTTAACGTCCTCGATGTTGAGGTCAACCATTGCAGTATATTAATAACTTGTTCAACTGGATGCACCATCTCTATGTATCGTAGAGATGAGTGTTGTACGTTTGGAAGTTAATCTGGATATTTTATAGATGTACCTTTTACCTGTATGGGACATTCTGCTTGTTGAATTGATGAATAGTAAACACGATTCTAAATTGACAATAATGTAATTATAGATGGATAGCTCATCGTCAACAATATGTACAACATGATTAATGACAAGATGTTATTACTATGTACGTTACTGTAAGCTCGTAAAGTATTGACCGTTTGATGGCTTTGATAAATTTATTTTAGCTATAGTGACATTAAGCCAATGATGATCGAATGACGTTGAATGATTCTTATATGATTTTATTATTGGTAAAGTGGACCAATTGCAGCATACAGTCCATATTTTGGACTGTTTTTATTTTTTGTTATTAGATTTGTTGTATTTTTCGACTGATTGTGTCATTGTTTGTGCTATTACTAAACTGTAGCTGATGCACTTTCGACATGTATGTGATGTCTTACTCATCAAGGTTGAAAAAAAAAATGTCATGATTTATTAATAGATCAATCAAAGTTGAGAAAATGTAATCAAGCAGAAAAGTGTGGCTAGACATTTTGATGTTGATATGAGTGTACATATGACGTTCAGTTAACACATAGTATTGCGATCGCTCTCAATAGGATTAGAGAAGCTCCTTACGTTGGATAACCGATCAATTTAGCTAATCCTTTTGAATTGATGGTCAAAGAAATGAATTAACATGAAAACGATTGGTATGGAATGGAATATGATCCCTGCACCGCTAGCTAAACCCACTATGCATTGAAAATGTTTTTTTGGGGGGGTATTTTTTAGCAGTAAACTAGGTGAAGCTTAACCTTTACTAATCATCATGATGTTATTGTGGAGAATTAGTGATGCGCCTTACAGTACCATTCAGTCATTTCTATCCATGGAGGATTAAGGAGGAAAAAAAAACAAAAGAAAGAAGCGGGGAAAAAGTGAGCCTTGAAACCGGCATCTTGCAAAACATGTTGGTAGCGCAGTTAAGAATCCATCTAATTAGCAATAATATAATCATAATAATAATAATATTGTTCAAAGAATGGGTCGATGTATTTACCAGATTACGCTTATTTTGCTGCGATTTCTCCATTGGATGAGCAGGTACAAGTCTATTGTTGACGGTTGTAGGTGCTGGAGAGGATAACCACCTTCAAATCGATCGATACACTGTCATTAAAAGGAGGAAAATTGGCCAATTTTTCAACAAATTGAAATAGTATCAAAACACTTTCAACTGCTGCATGGGAAAAAATTCAACGCCTAGAAATTTAGTATAAAACCATGAAATTTATTTTTTGCTACTGTTTACCAGCCGCAAATTGTCACACAATGCATTGAGTCTACGGACGGAAGACACCCGCCACAGTCCAGTACAGTACAGTACTGTACAGTATGTGTACAATACATGGACCGTGACATAATGTACTGTACAGTACAGTATACAGTATTGTACTGTACTGTACGTTGGATGCAGAAAGTTGTTGTTGTTTTTTCATACTGTACGCTACCTCTTCAACAATGGGTCACAAAGAGAACTGAAAAGCACATTGATTTTAATTTCAGTGTACAGTACAGTACTGTAAACTCTGATCATCGATTACAGTAGGCCTTTTTTGATTTGTTTGTTTATTTACTGATTTGAGCACGGTACATTACTGAATTTTGGGGGGAAAAGAAGCCTTTGCTTCTCCACCGAACAGTACGGTGTACAATATGTACTGTACGTATCTTCCCAAGTGGTTTCCTGCCGTGCGTACAGTTTACAGGTCAGTTCCAAGTTCTGATTTGGGGACCGTCATACACAGCTTGAGTGGGTAGAGTAATGTACTGGATTGCACATGCTCCTTTGTCTACAGTACTGTACTGTAGTGTACAGTGTACTGTACATACTGGACTGGACAAGCAGGGACTACCGTGATCGTACAATGTTCACCATTGGGAATAGGCTGTTAAAAGAGGGATGTAAAATTGAAAATTGAAAATTGAATTGCTTTACCTAGTCAGTAAGTTCACCCAGTACTCTATTTTACTGGCAAAATCTCTACCTTTGTCTGCTGTACTGTATAAAGTATCAAAAATTTTCCATCAAGTCTACGAAGACCTGGTTATAAAGTCAAATTAATGTTTACCATTGGGAATGGGCTGTGAAAAGAGGGGTGTAACATTAAAAATTGAAAATTGAACTGCTTCACCTAGTTAGTAAGATTACCCAGTACTCTATTTTACTGGCAAAGTCTCTACCTTTGTCACCTGTACTGTATAAAGCATCAGAAATATTCCATCAAGTCTACGAAGACCTGGTTATAAAATCAAATCAACTGGTTATAAAGTCAAATCAATGTTCACCCTTGGGAATGGGGTGTGAAAAGAGGGGTGTAACATTGAAAATTGAACTGCTTCACCTAGTTAATAAGATTACCCAGTACTCTATTTTACTGGCAAAGTCTCTACCTTTGTCTGTTGTACAGTACAAAACATCAGAAATTTTCCGTCAAGTCTACGAAGACCTGGTTATAAAATCAAATCAACTGGTTATAAAGTCAAATCAATGCTCACCCTTGGGAATGGGCTGTGAAAAGAGGGGTGTAACATTGAAAATTGAAAATTAAACTGCTTCACCTTGTTAGTAAGATTACCCAGTACTCTATTTTAGGGCATGGCAAAGTCTCTACCTTTGTCTACTGTACAGTACAAAACATCAGAAATATTCCACCAAGTCTACGAAGACCTATTTATAAAATCAAATCAATGTTCACCATTGGGAATGGGCTGTGAAAAGAGGGGTGTAAAATTAAAAATTGAAAATTCAATTGCTTCACATGGTTACTAAGTTTACCCAGTAATCTACTTTACTTGCAAAGTCTCTACACCGATTAGGCCACTTATTCCTCTCCAATACAGTAGCTACACTCAAATCTCAACGTGTATGGTATCCGCCAAATGAGCCAATGCAGCTTCAAGTGGCAAAGAAAGAATTGGTTGTTGTTCAATAAAATTGGACCAACCTCTCTGTACATCAACTGCACATTCATACCTGGCTAAATTCATTTGAATCAATTGAAATTAGCGTTACTGTAATCGATCCTATAATTTCTGATTCCCACATGAAATAAATTGATGACCTCTTAAATATGCAAAATTGATAAAATCTTCCACCGCAATATCAAAATAAATACATACGAGTATACCGTTCCTGACTATTCGTACGCGTTGTGTAAATTGATATCATCACTACAAAGTAGTGAAAATGAACAGATTGCCCTCAATTTGCGCTATTTATACGTTTCTAGTACTGTACAAATGCTCGGTAGTTTTTGCTCGCGTTAGAGATTGCAATAAAATAAAAAAGAGTTATTACTCGCGTCACCTAGTCGCAACGTTGGCATTTGCAAGACCTGTTAGATTTCTTGATCCTTGTTCAGCAGCTAAACTTCATTGCTAATCTCTCACCTTTACGAAAGCATGGATATAGAAATTGGCGGTGCTCTCTCTTCAACCTTCTAGCTTACTGATTATATTAATTATATGATATTGACATGTTATTACTATCACTTCCGAAAGTGCAGGCAGGCAAACAAGCGAGATTCCTTGGTAATCTGGCGACTCATTTGACTGGCGACATTTGTTTGGAAAGACCTATTATAATACAAACACTGTTATTTAAGGAAATTGGATTCATTTTATTTTATACACAGAAATAAAAACAGTTGGAATATCAGTAATGTGGGCTATAAATTCGACTTTATCACCCTTGAAATAGTCAAAATCTCACAAGAAATCTTTGGTACGGTAATTAATATTTAATTATCGATGAAGGTCGGATGGTAGTAACATAAATTATCAATTAAATTATCCGTTGCCGAAATTTACGAGTGTACCGTACTGAATGATTTTTTTTTGGGGGGGGGGATATCTCATAGTTTGCTCAGTAACCCGATATTTATACCATTTAATGCTGAATTGGTATACATACAGTAATGCCCTCAATAAGCAATGTAGTATTTCACTAAGGTCTACATTTACGCATATACTGTATACGTACTAACTTCCGTCATTCAACTCTCGGAAAATGTTAATATAAGCAGAGACTTCTTTTATGTACGGTTTATTGGTATTTTAGTAATCCTTAACATAGGGCTTTCGCATTAATCCTGTAAAATAAAATCGGTATAACTCCTATTTATACTGTAAGTCACTAGAGTCACTCATTATGTAACTTAAACAATCTACGTAAATACAATCGCTATCTTAACATTACTCTAACAATTTTTTTTCGGTAGAAAACTAGAGACTGAGCATTCTGATGGCTACTCATATTCAATCTCAGTTTCATCTTTGTACTAGTTTAAACAACAGTGTCGCGGGTACTTTAAGAGCTTTAATGATGATGACTAAGAAAGAATGCAATACTTTGGCAGATTGCTGTTCTAAGAGAGGCTCAAGATATGTAGTTTTTACAGTAAGTTAATTTGAGTACCATTGAATTGAATTTACATATCCTCACAATTTTCTAAGTTCAACGCGTATAGAGAATCATAACTTTTGAATAGCTATGCAAATTAGCGCATTGGTCAATTTTATTTATAGCAATAGAATGATGTACTTGAATTTTGGTCGTCTATAGCATAAGATATCGATTTAAAGAATCGTTTTTATCAAATGCATAATAGCTTCTCTGACAATGATATAAAATTTGACTGTATTTTATTCTTTAAATAATAATGTTAGTGAGTCACGATATTTCATCTGTAACTTTGGAATATTGTGTGTTCATAAGTTATAATCATCCAAAAATACACACGGTACTCTATGTTTTTATTTTATATTCAAATAATTAATTATAACTGCAATTACTAGTACCCCATATAAGATTAGTTGAAGCATGCATACAATAAGTATTGGAGGCGATACTGAAGAGATTTAGAATTAAGAAATTCTTTAATCAGGTCAATAACGGTTATGATTGCAATAGAAATACTGTACAAGGGGAACAAAACAGGCCACATATCTTGTAATTGTGCTACTCTTTATTATATTAACGCATAGTAGCTGATTACTGTATTCGTGCTATGTTTCTACTGTACGTCGTATTTGTAATGTGTTCACTAATACCCATAATTCATTTTATAATAATATGTATTGTATCCTTAACGAATCATGTCTAGGAGCGCCAGGTATGCTCAATACGCTGTCTAGAATGGGATAATAAAATTTGATAAATGCTAAAATCCTCCAAGTGTCCATAACTTTAATTGTTTATACCGCAATACTGTATTGGGCTTTCGGCAAGTGGATAGAAATACTCTATTGCACAAAAGTATTCAGCTCACGGTCCGTCAGCAACGCGACCGGGGCGCCAGACTAATACCCACGATTCATTTTACATCGCACTTTAACCAGATCATTAACGAAAGTTACAAGGTCTATTGATAGACAGCCTATGTGGATAAAAGAATCAATTAATTTTTTTTCGAATCACATGGGATACATTGAAAAGAGCTTTTACGTATCTACGTACAGTACAGTCGTGTCATGCATACTTCTAATATGTAAGGATATGAGTAGGAAAGTCCTTGCCTTCGAAATCTTTACTACCTTAAATCAAATTGTGATAATTCCGATCAGACTTAGGAATTTGGCAGATATCCTCATGTAATATTTATGGCACAGCTACCACAATGCATGTAATGGGACATTTTATTAATTTTCATTGCAGCTTAAGTCATTATAGTTTTCGTTCACATAATTAGCGAACGCTAAGATCGATAGTTTAAGAGATTAATATTTGGTCAACTATATTATTCAGTGTACAAGACAGAAATGCATTGCTTTATATTTCATCGTGAAATAAGTGCCATCACTAAAATTGTGCCATCTTAACTGGAAGTGAAAAAGTAATTAACTGCTAGTGGATCTAGGTCATATTTATTGCATAGACAAGTTCTATTTTGTAAATGATAAATGTCTCCGATTCAATATAACGACTTTGCTATCAGAACGTGAAATCGCATAGCTATACGATTGTAACATTTTCAGCAATAAATTTACTATTTTATCCGCATTTTAATAATAGGAAAAGGATAAGTTTATACAAAGCAGCGTGTACTATTTACAAAATGGTTTTCTAGCAAAGTTTAAACAATATTAACCAAGACAGTAATACTGACAATGATTTTACAAGTGATTATATTGTCGAAATTATGAATTTGCTGCGATTTGGAAAACCTGACGACTGCATCCAAAATGAAATGTATTATTATCTTAATATACCATAAATCATCAAATAAATAAGAGATTGATCTTTAAAGGATTCTGATGTCACTGTCTACATTTATCATATGTAAATATAGTACCAAGATATTATTGATTTTAATTATGAATGTAAAATGGTAAGTTTACAAAAAAGAATGCATAATAATAAGACATAATTCTATAGAGGAAGCCATTCCTTCATATTATCAAGTGAGTAAAGCTGTAATCTGTGCAGAGTACAGTAATCCACAGGGTATTCTCTCCAGCACTAAAATCAGGGCTTTTCAAATTTGCATGGGCTATATGTTTTGGCTCATTAATTTAGCAGCCATGCCTGCAATATTCGTGTCTGCTACACGGTATTCTCTCCAGCGTTAAAACCAGAGCCTTTCAAATTTGCATGGGCCATACGTTTTAACTCATTAATTTGACGACTATGTCTGCGATATTCGTGTCTGCTCAGGCGACGGTAAAAATGGCACGCAAACACTGTGAACACAACTAAGACAGGAATCATTGTACATGTACCAGCTAACGCAGCATATTCATCAATCGTAATAAACTTGACCCAGCAGAGAACAATAATTTCGCACAAAAACAAAAATATGCCGACAACGGTAGAGAATCCCCATGCTAATTCAATATACTTATGCAATTCGAAATGAGGTGACTCCATTCCATCCGACGGTCCTTCACTTTCTGCTGCATCAATATGAGGCAGGATACATGTCGAAATCATAACAGCAAATAGATGAACTGATATGAGGATAGTTGTTAGTACTGCAAAACAAACCAGCAAATATAAAGGAACACATTTATGTCCTGGGGGGCAATTAGTAGTTGTATTTGACCCAATGATGTTATTGGTACTCTGAACTGGCGCAATATCGATCTCTACCATGGCAACCTACAAGAAATACAAATAATTAATACTATCTATATATAATTCAATATTAAAAATAATTTAAATTTATGCAGTAGTTAAATACAAAGTAGTATCTTTGTGTACTAGTAAAACTGCTTGATATTGCTAATATTAGTCAATCATTCGCATAGGGTTGAAAAGTCACCAAAAGGTCAAAATTTAAGCTTACTAGCTACAGTAATTGAACGGACGCTGGTAATTTGTTACATTTTCTTCAGCAGTATATACTGCTTATATTCACATGATGTATCCTATTCTGTTGTCTTGATGTTCTACGCAATATTAAAGTACTGGAATATCACTATCGCTGTCATAAGTATTTGCAAACACTGACATAAGTCATTGTGAGAGCCAATTGCTTATGATATCATATTCCGCGTCATGCTAATTTTACAATCAGTTTAACATTTATGTGAAGCGAGCACCATTCCTATTAATTAATAAATTTACTTGCTTTGCTACGTCGATATAGTGGACTAGCGGAATGACTTATATATTGCTATTATGAGGCAAGAATCACTTATACAGAACGGTATTCATAAAGTAAATTTTCTTGTAATTAATATTGACGAGGAGGCGTTCGATGAACATTCGTTCAGTTAATTTTTAATGTCATTAAATAATGCCATATACAGTTATTAGTTATAAGCTGAACTCTTTTCACAATATCAACATTGTAAGAACTATGAATGGGTGATATTTATTGTTTCATGTATTAATATCTGAAACTGATTGTTAATACATTAAGGTTAAGGTTAATGCTATCTTCGTTAGTGACTCTATCCATGGTTATTGACATGTATAGCCATGAACTGCTAAAACCTGGTTTCTTCTAGTAGTCTATAGCATAGCATCTATATTTTGTATGCACACTACAAAAATATATTCGCAAAATTTAACTCTGTATCATCTTACGATGGCAATACCAGTTACTGACCACTTTCCCACCGTTGATAATTGCATATTTATTACAGAGAGTGGAGTGTCTGATATCATTAATTGAATGCAGTGAGCTATTGATCATACATATACAGTACATTACATTTTATCCCCCCAAAATAACGGGTAACTAGTCGATACATTACATAGGTAATGAGCATAATAATTCAGCAAAGTGAATGCTGTCGGATTATGGCCATTTAGAAGATGAACTACGATTAATTGATTGAAATAATGTTGTCGCAAACCAACGGATTATGGTCATTTAGAAGATGAACTACGATTAATTGATTGAAATAATGTAGTCGCAAACCAACACTGGGGAACATTCAACAACAATGACCACAATGCCATATAACATACAGTATACAGTATACTGTATAGGAATTAACACTAAATAATACTCCTAGGAGTGTACACATTGTTCGTACATTGAACTAATTAGTTAAGGGATTCGTCTGTACTGTAGATCAGCAGAAGCTTGTGACTTTACTCATTGAAATTAAAAATCTTATTTAACGCTAGTCCCATTGAATTGACGGCTATCGGTAGTATTGTAGTGTATATTGTACAAGCGTCGATTGTATTATTCAGTATTTGATTCATATGATACTAAGCCAAGGCTGCATCAACCTACTACTCCATTTTCAATTCTAGATTATACGATAAACCATGATCGTTGGAAGGCTATTATTGAGATGGATAAGTAGATAACCGAAATGACCCACATCCTGTAATATAGGACAATCCTTTGAAGGTTTCGGCTTGCCCTGTTGAAATTTAGCCCCAGGTCTATTCGCAATGCGGATGATAATAACATGATAACCGAGACTCGTCAATCTGGGCATGGATTTTGAAATAGATAGGAGTGTTGAGTATAAGTAATAATAACAATAATATCATTTTTAGACTCAGGCTAAGGCTTATAGAAAATTAGTATGGTGAGCACATGCTATACATGAGATAATACGAGATGAGGCATGAACTTATTTCATGGATTTTAAAAAATTTTACCAGTAGCTAATAAATTAAATAGTGGCCAAAAAATTGAAAAAGAATTTGGGGATTACTGTACGAGTATACTCAGAAAGCACTAGTCAATGTACTCTATTGTAAAGTATGTTGACCTGTATAACAGTATTTTGTGCAGTATGTTAATACACCGTGTTCCATTGATTCAAACTTTAACATTAACATTACCATTGCGAATCCAGACAACAACGCTGATGTTCGACTGGATGCTTTCAGCTTTGATCTGCTTAAACGTAGATTTCGCCATGATAACTGTTCCGGACTTCTATCTAAGGACGACATTTGCACTGGCCGATTTACTTTTAAATTAGATAGAATTAAACTTGGAGTCTTTTGTAGTAACTCCAACCGTCTTTCAGTCCTTTGTTTTGTGCATCAGTTTGTGCGTACTGTACTGTACTGTGTCGTATAGTATTGTGTACTGTAGCTATTGAAAGTACTGTAGTTTCCGAATCAGTGCAAGACGTACAGTACTGTACCCTGTAGGTCCTGTACTGTACTGTACAGTACAGTACAGTACAGTCACGGTACCATACATTGTAGAATCGAAACATAGTACTGTAGAGTACTGTACTGTACTGTATGTGGGTGTACTGTACGTACAGTACAGTACAGTACTGTGTCACGTACTGTACTGTACTGTACACCCACACACTGTACTGTACACTGTACAGTCGTCCTTGGTTCAAGTATAATTATTTATTAATTTGAGTGAGCGACTTGATGCAGAATTTCCTCTAGTAGTGTTGACTACAACTGTTGTGCTGTTCTACTGCATTCACGATATTTATGATTATCACTCGCTCATTAAGGTTCATTGAAATGATCGAAAACCAATGATTCTGAGGCTGCATGAAAATCTTTTTAGAGAAGAAGCGACTTGAATCATTCCTATGTACAAAATGCTGTACGGTATGTGAACAGTAGATTGTCATAGACTGTCTACAGTAATAGAGATATCAATTATAAATAAATGGAATGAATGAGTTAGCTAAAGACTAAAGACTGGGGGAGTAAAATGCAAGCAGCCCACTGCAGCCGGAAGTTGCAAAGATAACGTCATCAAATTGTAGGCCATTCCATTCCATAGGCTAGTAAGAAAGGGAGAAGGACTTGAAAGACGCCATTTAGTGCGGAGGTTAATCATTTTCTGGTCATTCTACGTACCTACTACTGTTTAAGTATACAGTACAGTACGATTGAACAACCTGGCGGCGAATTTGGATGACGATCGTAAACAGTATAGTCTACACTCAGTGCATACTTATACACATATGGTACAGTTAAAATGAGCGGCAGATTAGTCGGTCTTTTACCTTCTGTTTAAGTCCACTGAATGACCATTTTCCGTCCCTCCCTCTTTTTACCCGCACCAGTACAATACAGCACTTAGATTAACATTGTATAAAACAGAGAGAGAGCGTATAATTATAAATAGAATAATAATATTATCATTACTTTATTAGTGATGGGGATGATAACGTTATGAAGCATCGATACCGTACCATGTAGGAGTAGATCTTTATGCACTTTCTTCCATTTTAATTTGCATGTACTGTATTCCTTCAACATTATTGACTTAATGGTTAACAGTAGTGGGGAATAATTTGATCTACTGAATAATATTACAATTATTGTTATTATTTTTTCACTAACCTTAATTAGAAATTCCTTACAAGATGAGATCAATAACGCGAAGTTGCTGCTTAATAAATAATTTACTCAAGTACCGATACCGAGATGTGTTGATTCGATCCTCCAGTTGGAGCTCAAAACCAAGTTTAGATCAGTTAATGGCAACAGTAAGTCACAATCTGTCAGTCAACTCAAGTAAAGCAGACATTACGACTACGATTGATGCGTACCATTACGTACAGCGCAAGCTTTAACTTAAATCTACTTCAAAACTTTGGCAACATTACTGGATCATTGATCCGCATGACTGTATTGTATTAGTCTATTAATCGTAAAACCGTTAATAATTATTACAATCATGTCTCGTACCTGGCAATTAATCTGCTGTATTTTCCAACTTTATGTAGTAATATGATATTGGTCATGATAGCTAGTTTAAAAAACCTGCATAATTATAGACAATATAGTCCTCTTAGATCATATGCTGTAATCTTTATCGCACATAAACGTTACTTTAGCGCATTTGATATTTATATTGCGATCCTTCTTGAAGACTTACGTTCTTCTTTTTTGAACTGACAGCCTATAACACCAATTACACCTTATCAAGTCCTCTTCGCTGGTAATCGTGAAGATGGATCGCATCTCATGGTAAAAAAATTACCTTTCAATCTATAAAGCTCATATTTAATATACTAACGTTAAATAATTGTGTAATAAATTATTATTACTGAACAATGAAAGTTTAAGCCAACATTTTCTACGTAGACGCTGCCACTCTTTATAATTTATCCTGTAAATGATACAATTTTTTATTATAAATATCATATGTAATGTACCTTTATTCATCGTCAGATTTGCAATCAATGTTTTAACCCTTAGTTTTATCAGGTATTAGTTTTAGGCACTGAAACTTACAACGTTTTATGTACAAATAATCATCATGCTATACGCATAAAGAGATATAATCATATTTTATTCTTTTGCATTTTGAAATAGAAAAGTGCAAAATTCCTAGTCAAAGAATTGCTTGTAAGATTTAGCCACCTTATCGCTACTATGCAAAATCTCCCATACATCGCTATGTGCCACCCCCAACTTAAAAGTGTGGTAGGAGTCATAATGTCTTATTAATAAATCATTTACTGTATACGTGATCAGTAATTTTGTCATCTAAGTTCTGCCGTACATGCTTTTTAGCTAAAATTAGGAATTATGCAACTGATGCTATTTCGACTTATTTTAACTTTTCTTTTAAAATTATAGCTTGAATCATATCATAACTCGTTTGATATGTTATATGATTACGAGACGGTACTTGCGTAAATTTAATATTTTACATCATCAATTTTTGCAAAGCATCCTATTATGCTATTTTATATGTGACTACTACTGTTTGAACTTACTAAACATGGTGATAGGTAAATGATTACAAAGCAGCCGTAGCTTATAGTAAAACCTTGACCAAAATTCTTGAAAAATACAATGACGAATTAAAATCCCTCGCTTCTGGTTTCGACAGCGCTTACAAGAGTGTTGCAGTGAGTACATACTTTTTTTATTTTTACCTCAAAACCCTATCATACAGTGGTTGTTGTAAAAAGAACATCATGTTAAATACCAAATTTTATTAATTGATCAGTTTCATTATCGCAGCTTTAGTATAACGACTTACTTAATTACGATAGTAACATTTTCATAGTCATCACAGATTTCATGTATGTTCCTTGCGATTTGACTGCCTAGGCTCAGGATCATTCCGAAAGTCTTGATAAAATCTTAAAATGGTACCTTGGAATAAAAATTTTGGCTGAACATTATGTCGCGTTACATCATCCCAAAGTAAAAATTCAGAATCAATGCATTCGCTTAGTAACAGCAAGTAAAAATATGCTTTAAAAATTAAAATCATCCGTTCATATATTACTATAGCCAAAATATGTTGGTATTATCTGCACAAAGCTAGAGCTGCAAGATCTTATCAAGGCTAAAGCTGATTTTGCACGGTAAATACTAACTTTTTTATTTAGAGTATGGTAGATTCTGCTTACTACTAAATAAATAGCTAGAAGTTTCCAATTTCCAGCAATATACCCACTCCTTATATCAAATCTTTATTCCTTAAGCGAGATATGTGATTTCAAGTATGGTAGATCTCCGAATGTAGAATTTGATGGTGATGTAAATTGTCACTTTCCGTATTTTCCCGCTCCTCTGGAATATATCGTCTTTGAATTACTCAAAAATGCTTTCGAGTAACTATTGTTATGTGAAATACTGTGCCACTTGATATTCAATAATTCTTTAAATTTCTCATTTTGTATGATATACATTATTAACCCTTTTTTACTATTAAACTATTAGAGCTACGGTAAAAAATCATCCAAAATTATCCGATAACCTACCTAATGTCAAAATAGCAATTAGCAACACTAAGGAGTACTTTTACATCAGGTAATGATGATATTATAGCTGAAAAGCGGTACAATGCGTCTCATCAGGAATCTGAGTGAATCCTTTGACCTTCCCATTCTCTAAATTTTGCCATACTGAAATTGTAGAATTTCGGATCAGGGTGGTGGAATGGCTAAAGAAAACGCTAGTAAAGCTATGAAATATCACTACACAACAAGCCGAGCAAAAAACACTGCACTTGAGCAAAATATTTTCAATAGTGTAATGGAAATTCAATTTGGTGGTCCAGCAGGAGGTCCTATGTCTGGCTATGGATTCGGTTTACCTGTGTCACGCATATACGCAGAATATTTGGGAGGGAGTTTGCAATTACATACAATTCCGGAATATGGCACGGACGTATACTTAGAGCTACAACATATCGATGGAAAAAATTGCTTTAAAATATAAATTGCTGCACAACATAAACTACCTAGATCATCGAGAAATTCATCAAATATTGTTCTAATAACTTTTAATGTTATTGATTAATTTTAATTTCTGTAAAAGATCTTTTTAGTGCAATCTAAAATATGCTCTCTTGTAAAGGTTGCTTAGATGAAGTTTAGACAAATGACTGTGAGCTAAAAACATTGTGCATTCATTTATTCCAACGAAGAAGAATTCTTGTCTTTAATGTTTGCAGTGAAATGATAGCCGAAACTTGTGAATGCACAGTACTTCTAAAATTTCTATTTTAAATACGGTACTATTCATAGCTTCATGAAATAGAATTTACAATCTAGCATCCTTTAGTTAGTAATAACTACAAGGACGAAGTAATGATAGGCCATTGTGATATTTTCGTATTAAATCGCAATAATTTATTTATGCAAATCCCTATTATTGCAGTCACTTGAGCTCAACTGCTAATGTTCTGTTTGAGCTCAGTTTGTGGTTGCTGTATATGTTACGTCTAAAATCGGTAATGCAACCATTACCGCTAACATATATATTCTTTAGTTATCTATCATGGTACAGATCAATATAAGTTTCAAGTTAAGAGAATTTACAATAAAATTGTTGTAACTGTCTTTCTATAGCCTGGTGTGACATCTATAATTAGTTTGTAACAACAAGTGGGGCGTTAAACTCTAGCTACTAGAACCTGTAATAGTCCAAGGTATCAACTCCATCGACATTGTCTTGTAACGATTAGAGACAACTTGGAGTATAAGTTGATGGATATGCGATTTAATAGATCTCATCATTAGTTCTGTATACCATCAAATTGCGCAGTTCTATTAAATACTAGTAATCATATAGCTAAAGTTATATAATGTTTTAGTAGCCCGGTCTTAAATTTTAATCGCTAAGACTATACGCGTACTTCTGATCAATCTTCGTATATCCTAGTGCTTTATGGCTTCCGATATTTAATATCTTTCACGATAGGATCGATAGTTTTGTCACCGAAAATAAATTTATTCTGCACAATAAACTTAACAAGAATAATCGGTTCTATAGCAAATTTCATAAATTAAATTATGTTTTGTATTTCGCATCGTCTTGACGTCATCTAAGCAATTTTTACAGTAAAGATGTTTAAATATTTCTCAAGGTCATATTGCAGTAAGTTGAGATTTGACTTTAAGTTTGTGAATTTAAGCACATTGTAATGTTCAAATAGTAGCATACATTAACTCGTATTAATAAAATTGGATTATTCAGAATTTAAAATACACATTAAATTATTTCAGTAAGATAGTAGTTTTGACAGAGTCATGCACCGTTCAACTTAATGACAGCGAAGAATATTGAATGCACTTATGTATTATTATTGATCATACGACGTTACAAATATTGCACACACTAATTCTATTCAGTTTCATCCTCCTCCAATTTTTCTTCTGCTTCCCTCATTACTGCATCTGGATTTTGTAATTTATTCTAGGCAATAGATGTAACATCAAATAGTTAGAATGGGACCACTATTTCAATGAATTAATTGTAAGTTAAATCTTGTAATTTAAAAATCGAACCTCAGGTAACTGATACTGAGTTGGACGAGTAGCTTCATTTCTTGCGTAGTCTACCATATTGCCACACTTCGGTATATTATCACGCCAAGTACCTTCATATAGCTGTCCTTTATCTAAATAATAAAATTTACCGGCACCATGCTTTAAATCATCTTTCCAGGATCCTTCATATCTGTTACCGGTTGCTAAGAATGTCATAAGCAATTAAATAATTAGTTTTAATGTCGATCTTACAACTGGAACTATAAATTTTAATGGATTATGCCATGAAAGCTCGTGAGATAAGCCTTCATTAATAATAGTAAGCAACCTAATCTTAGCATGCCCTCTCCGTTTCTAAGATCATTAAACCATTCGCCTTCATAAATTGAACCGTCTTCAAAATACATTCTTCCCCATCCACTTCTCTTATTTGCATACCATTCGCCTTCATAATATTCCGTTGGAGAGTAAAAATTTGTTCCATAACCCTAAAATGTTATCAGTGACGTAGATTAGTACGGAAATGTAATATATCTAACAATTCACTTGCTAAGGTTAGACGCAAGACATCAAACTAACTTACGTGTCGCATGCCGTTTTTCCAACCGCCAGAATATACCTTACGATAGCCATTTTTAACTGGAACACTAAGGGTGCCAAAACCATGACGTTTGTTGTCTTTCCAATCTCCATCATAGATAGTACCTGACTTTTTCCAGAATTGTGTACCTTTGCCTAATAAAGTCATTTTTTTAGGTATCAATATTTTTCTCTGAAATTCCTTCAGTGATCGTAACGCGGAAAGAATACGATAGTTTTATATTTAATAAAGTATATTATTAGATAAAAAGCAATTAGATTAAGTGAAAACTTTTTTAATATGATTTACTAAAGTATTGATTTGGCTTCTGTATTATATAAACCCATAAAATTTAGCGTTCAAGTATGGCAATAACCAATGATAGTATATTACAGTAATGAACGTGTCTACTGAATTAAATATACGAATAATTTCAGTACTTTTCGTGTACTTATTTTCGTGAAAGTTGTAGATCATTTTGATACTAGTTCTAATTTGTTGGATTTGTAGCACATCTTTACGCATATTTCATTTAAAAGTTCCCATACTATTATGAGACTACGGTATAAGATGTACGATGACAATTTGTAATTCATGTTGCAGGAATATGAGATCATTTCTAACCATTTTTTTTATTATTGCTCCAATCTCCGGTGTAATGATCTCCATTCACGGTGTAAACTGTATGATGTATTCCTTTCTTTTGAGCCTTATCATCCCATTCGTGCCACATCGGTTCGCGAATCTTTGGTTGTTTTTCAATCGGCATCTTGTCTATAAACTTTATTGGTAGTCGATTCACTTTTGATAATCTTCGTGGTATTATGATGAAGTACAGTAAGTGTATTAATGTACAATAGCCTAGGACTGTTATGGGTATAAATGATAGTGATATTAACTAGTTTGCTAGTTCTTACTCTTTATTATTGATTGGTTATAATAAGAAGTCTTCAACACAACGCTCTATTAGCTATACAGAATTAGTATTGCATCAATTTGGTCGTTTCTATAGCAACAAAGGAGCAAATAGCATAGACTGTAGAGCGTACAAGACTACAAGTTACGGCTCCTAGTACTAGCACCACATTCAGTATAGAGAGTATTACTGTGCTGTACAGTGTACACTCGTTACCGCTAGGACTGACTTACCGCACAGTACTGCACGTACAGTACTTTGTCAAGTTAACGTGATAAGGTTTTGACTAGAGATACAGTACAGTACAGTACTGTAGACTACTGTACTAAATACTGTACTTCCCGGTGACAATCGTACAGACAGACCTTCGTACAGTATGATACAGTAAAATCCTTGGTCGCCCTCGCGTCCGTCCTTCGTCACTATTTGGAAGGTCTCCGTTATTACAGTGCTCCCATACAATCCTACTGTACTGTACTGTACTGTATACTGTACATTTTATGAGATACCCTATACTGTACTGTACAGTACAGTACAGTAAAATCCTTGACCGTCCTCGCGTCCGTCCTTTCCTCACTATTTGGAAGGTCTCCGTTATTACAGTGCTCCACCATACAATCCTACTGTACTTTTATGAGACACGCTGAGTACCGTATACAGTACTGTAGGCTGTAAGTATAGTATGATACAGTACAGTACAGTACCGTAAAATCCTTGGCAGTCCTCGCGTCCGTCCTTTCCACACTATTTGGAAGGTCTCCGCTATTATAGTGCTCCATACAATCCTACCGTACTGTACTGTACTTTTATGAGACACCCTGAGTACTGTACGTGCAGAAAAGAAGAAGCAACAGTCCTAGCTGCACGTGTTGGTTGAGATTTCCTTGCAAGGCCTCGAACACTCCGCTACAAAGTTGAATTTTACGTTAGATCTTATGCCTATCCGAGAATAAAACTGCGCGATTTTAATTTACTAATTCCGTAAATAGACAGACAATTACTTGACATGTTCGACATTTGGATCTGTTGAAGTAATAAGCTAGTTTATACATAGTACAGTATTGTGATAGTCATCGACAAGGAGAATCGAGAGGATGAATTGCAAATGTCGGAATGACTGGGACATCATTATTCTTGACAAGTGCTGCAGCTTAAATTTGGTATGTTGAAAGAGCCGTTTTACTTTTAGTTTGATGTAAATTGTACTTACTTATTTATATGATCTTTCTATCTTAAATATCTACATAACTTTGATTGAAAAGAGCTTAAAAAGCTGAAAGAATGCTGTTGAAAACTATTTTCGTGGAAGCATGGCAGGAATACTGACGCTGGAATCGTTCCACATAAAGATTCGCGACAGCTCACTTCCACAATTAAATAGGTATCGTCTCCATTGTAAGCAATGAAACTAATAAGTGTAATAGCGAAATTGGGTACAAGATAGTATGTGATGAAATTGTAACTTCATGGTCCGTGTTTCTGATTCAACCGTGATAATAGCTGAAGTTCTGATCTATCTTGAAATACTTATTTAAATGACAGCCCTAGAATAGCCCTAATTAATCATACATGTCTAATGTTAATAAGTTTCAGTTTATCTTTGGTGATGTAATTTACTGCATTAACACTGATATTATAATCTTCGTGTATTTGTAACATGAACGTATACTACAGAAGCTATGACGCAGCTATCAAGTATCCCTTTCCATTTATAATAAAGAATATCGCTTGAAAGAAATGAATCATAAGGTAAGATAAAAAGTTATTCTTAAAGTTTTATTCCTGTAATTATATAGCTCGTACAGCTATGATACGTATACTGTATAAAGTAGAAAATAAATAAATATCATACGTGTATGATGAGATCAAAATATGTATTTGAATCATCCATGTGGAATACAATGACTACAATTCTCTGAGATAGTTTTTAAATAATGACTTATAATGGTTAAGCTGTTGACAACATAACCACTGCTTAAATACTCCCTGTTTCGTTAACATACTTTTCCATAGATTTTCAAGATGGAACGCTTAGCCAAATGATGTGATGCAGGTTTTGACTAAGATTTGGACAGAAGCAAAATTTTAATAATTGCTTATTCGTGACTACTTCATGTGCCGATACGAAAAACAACACATGTACGTATGCACAATACCGAGATTTTTGTGAGGGTGATTGTTTAAAAGAAATTCGTATACTGTACAGCTGATTCAGTAGAGAAATATCCCTTTGAACATCAACGAAATTTGTGTCCACACGGAGTTACTTGAGCGATATTGTTCAACGTAGCATGCATGTCATAACTGCAATCATGATGATCACTATTACCTACATTGTCTGACATTTGTGGGTGACTTATCAAATATATTATCTGAATCTCTGTACGCACAAACGTTGATGTAGCCTTATTCAATAAATTTATTAGCTACAACCGTATGGTGAAGGTAAATGCCGTAACTGTTTATAATTTTTATTTCTAATAGGTATGCAAGAAATCAAAAATTTAAGAAATGATGATAGTTACAACCATATTTTCTGTGCGCAAAGCTTCATAACAAAGTTTAAGCATGGGATATTACTGAAATAAACACTTTACCATTTCAAAATCTTATTGCTGTACTTGCGTTCATCCTTTTATTAAGAACAATGCCATTCATTGTAATAATAAGTGCAAAATTAAGTTATATGTACATAAGATTGTGTTACAGTTTCGCTAACGGTTTTGATCGAATCTTCGGCTTATTTAAAAAAACGTCATACCAATCCGGCCTTGATAACGAGCCTGGCGTAGTCATTGTCCGCTGATATATATCCTTGTATATCTAAGAAATTAAGCATGAGTGATTTAAAATGAGCAAGTATTGCTTTGTTTTACAATATAAATCAAATTTACCTGGCCGTTGTAACTTCCAATTACTGAATCCAGTAAGAAGTCAGACGGCGCTATTATGTCTACCAAACGTACGGCATCACGTTTTAGCTAGATAATAGTATGACAAAATCGTAAATAATTTTTATAGCAATGTTTCGTTGAATGAAAGCAAGTTGCCTCAAAAAACTTCTGATCTTAGACCTTTGCATCAAATTTAAAACATCATACAATTATTGGCTTTCGAATTACGTTAACTTTTGCATACCTCATCACAAAGGCGTACAATAGTATCGTGGATCAAGTCTACACACTCATCATTGGTGATATAAGAACCTGAATTCAATAGTTAAACAAGCCTAAGATTACAACATTAACTCCATCGATAAAAATGACACAAGTCGACTAAAATGCCTTTCAATCTACGATTAACACATACCTTGAAGAAGCAGGGCTAGGTGTTTATCTAAGCTCCACCATCCATACAGTAAAAAAAGCCTTACTAATACTGATTTAATATTGCCATTATCAGGTGCGTTATTAATATGTTCATAAAATTTTTCCAAAACCCGATTCTGTTACGAAAAATTATTTTATATTTACAGTTAATGAATATTCATTATGATTAATTAATTATTTATGCTATAGAGCATCGGTATAAATATAGTAACGATGATAAAGTGTGTATCTACACAACGGATTACCTCTATAAATGCTAATGCCAATGGACGGCAATGAAATACCTGATTACCATTCCTGGCCGAAAACATATCCTGCAGAAATATAAATTAAACGTTTACCACATCTCTTTAAGGTTTGACACTAGAAAAGAGTGCTCTTTATGACCGAAAGATGGTACCTTATTTACTCCTAGGCTACTCTGTACTCTTTCGACGCTTCTTTTAGCCAAATATGCCACCAACCATTGATAAGTTCGGAGTATTACTGAAAGTATTGAATGTCTTACTATCAATTTTCACAGTTGTTTAACACCTCTAAAGAATTTAACATAATAGTACTACAAAATTAGTTAAATTAAAATACCTTTCATATCTCTACAATCAGCAACTGTTCTGGGCTTAAATTTTTTGCGTAGAATAGGCTCAGCATTATTTAAAAAATTTACGCTACCTAATGGTGATCGTATCTCGATGCCTATCAAATAGAATAGTAGAATATGACGTAATTCGACATCACTGTACCAAATCTGCAGGCTATTAATTTCAGTATAAACGCTGACGAATAGTAAATAAAACCTCTAGTAGATTTTAGGAAAAGTAGAGTCAGTAAGTAATTGCTGGTTTGTTGTAACAAGATATTGTTATCTCCTTCATAGGTGCAGCTTGGATCATTGTCATTACGTAAGTCTCCAAATCGAGCGGCTAAAAAATAATGCGTTTATTATAAAGCTTAAAATTCAGAGGATAATAAAATAGTCAAATCTATGTAGACATTGTAAATTAGTAGAAATTACAGCATATATAACATAGTACCCTCGTGAAAGCCATGTCCACCACAAGCTTCTCTACACTCTTGTATTGCGTCTCGAGCAAGCCACGTACTTAATGGTTTACTAGCTGCAGATAGAACATGTATTTCTTGATTTAATTGTGCTTGTAAATCATATTGAGATTCGGTGGCTGCTAATTTTTCCATGTAGGCATAATCCTCAAAGAAACTGACCATGAAAGCATTTAAAGCATAAATTGCAGCAAGGTACGGGAAGAGTCTCCATTGCTGAAAGAGAGTGGAATAAAGTTGTCGATATTTTCAGTTACCTGAGTTATCTAATCCTGCATAAAATTAAAATAAAATACAGTAGCTGCGGTACCTGCAGTTGGTATTCAATTATTGCAACCTCTCCAGAAGACTTCGGTCCAAACTGACGCCGAGCAGCTGAGTACCTGTTAAATAAACAATTAAAAAATCTCATATACCGACATTAATGAATACAGATTCAGGTATCAAAGAAATATAGTTTATTTCAGGCTATGTAGAACCTAATAGCGGGTATAATAGCAGCCTTCATATTTATAACTGCCGCATCCGTTATAAGAATTCTGCCAATCGATAATATCGGAAGGGTTATTGCAAGTCTCTGATTTGGATCCTAAAATTGTTTAAATTGAACTATATCAAACTAGGCAATAACGTAAACTGAAAGAGATAACATCGTGTCAGAAATTGTAGTCTAATATGCAGAGAAGCTCTGTACTTACTTTGCAAGAGCTTACGTATTTTCCCTGAGACGTAACATCACCAGTCCTAGCGATATAGACCTTAAATTGTATTATCTATTCTTGCCCTTAAGTCTTATAAGTATTAAAGAAAATATTCGATACCGATTCAAAAGATTTTCCCGAGGAATTCTGAATTCGTTGAATGCAACAAACCTAAAACATTGAAGGGTTACTTTCAATAAAATAGTACACCGTATGGACTGGAAATACGTAACTAGGTCATTGTCAAATATAAAAATACCTATTAACATCAAAATTTAGACATAAAATATGTTACCCGCTATCAATACCATTTTGACCAATTTTTTTGCCAATATCTCCAACTATTACGCCAGGGTAAGGAATTAAAGATACGGGATCACGGATAGGGACAACAAAAGAATGAAGACCATGACATCTTCCATCAGCAGTATACAGTTGAGCGAAAAGAAGTGCATGGGTAGCAGTTTTTCCTAAATTACCAATCCACCACTTTGTAGCTTCGAAATTGGGAGTATTGAGCACAAATTCCTAATTCATAAAGTAGTATTTGATATTGACGTATGACCTGTTATCCTATACTAATACTTGCATTTAATAAATCAGAGTACATAGGAAGAAGTTTACACATTTCAAAAAACATGCACGTACAAATACCGAATAAAACCTATCCAGGTCTTTTTTACGTAAACGAATGTAATATCGAAAACATATGATACAAGAAGTTACACTTTTCGCAATGGTTGTCACATCTGCCGATATTGATAACATTTTCCATAGGTACGCTCGTATAGCAACATACCTGAGTATTAGGATCAAATGTTGCAGTTGTCCTCATACTTCGTACATTACTACCATGACTTAACTCGGTCAGCGCAAAACACCCATATAACTAAAAAAAGCAAACAAAACGCTACTAAACAGCTTGTGATGTCATCAAATTTCAAAGCATCTTTTCGTGTATGACTGTGATTAATCTTCTTACATCAATAAACAAAATCAAATTACTAGTTTATGATACGCTTAACTACATTTATATTGTATCAATATCGCAAAATTCAATTGTAACTATCTAGTTTTATTGGCTAAAGTTACAATAGAACGAAAGCACCATATATTGAGCACTGTGAAATAGTTGAGCGATTTCCTACCTGATATTGCAGACATTGCTTAACATAATGGACATGTCTCCTCGTACCCAGCAAAGTAACGCCCTTTGAGAATAGCTAATGCATACCAATAGGCATTTTATAAACGATAATAGTAATCAAGATAATAGTTAATAAGACAGAATATTTCTAACACCATAATTGCACTATCATGCAACAACAACAAACTAACTTTCAATGCATGCAGACATATTTAGAATTAACAGTACTGTACTTTTGTACAGCATACAGTACACGGATAACGGTAAAAAGTTACTGAACCTCTGACAGGTCTATCAAATGGTAATACTATCTGTTAAATGAGCACATTATCGTAAACCGTCAGCAAAGCGACGGGAGTTTGCACTAGTATTACTGAATTGAATTGTACTAGATAGGTTAGTTACCGTTTCATGCAGATATCGCTTTGCAGCTGCATTGCGATTCACCATGTTTAAGAGTTCAGTTAATACTCTTCTTTTACAAATGTTGCTCTCCGTTTCTTCCTCGGACAAGAAGTTATATTCACTAAATCTCATGCATTGAATCATAGCTCTACGTTGCTCTTCATCTCGACTCAACTCTTTAATAGGACGATGAAATATTGGATCTGCTTCCAACATTTTGGAAACAGCTGCCCTAAATTGGACAATATCTTTACCGCCAAAGAAATACTCTTGCAATTTTTGCCAATTAAATGAAGCTTGGTGTCTATATCGATCCAAGGGATTCGTGGAGGTATTGTTATAGCTGTAAAGCAAAACGAATCTTCCGATCATATTTCAGGGATATTATTACCGTTTAACCGCTAATCCTTTTTAATTCTATAACGTATCTTTGAATGATATATCTATCATTCCTTTCATGGTAATTGTGTTCTGGTTTCATCTAGTAACTGGCGAGTTAGTCTTATTACTACCGTTTAACTGCTAATCCTTTTCAATTCTATAACGTATCTTTGAAAGATATATCATTCCTTTCATGGCAATTGTGTTCTAGTTTCCTCTAGCAACTGGCGAGTTAGTCTTATTACTAATCTATTCTAATTAATCAATGAATGATTGCAGTTGAACGAGCATACTGAATTTATTGCTTAATTAGCTAGCACAGAAAATTATAATCAATTATCACAATACCACCAATTCTGTAAATCAATTTCTAATTTTATTTTACCGTTAATATTCATACGGGTAGTTTACCAGTACTGTACTCTACTACCAGCTAGTTAAAAATACAATTAATTAATAAAGGAAACTCCTTCAGATTCCAATCCTATCTCCTAATTACAGACTAACTCACAAACCTGTCCTTTCCTGCCATAGTTGGCTACTATTTCAAAATTTGAGTTTTCTATTATTTTTGGTAAGTTTCAACTTGACGTTCAATCGAACGGGTAATTTCTAGTTATCATGATTGTTATGGATTAGTTATTAGTTATTAATGAATTATTGATCAATACTTATAAAGTATAAATAACAGTAGTGACTTGAACTGTCGATGCATCATCGCAAAGTATTCGTACTTCTATCAGCAAGCGCTATAAGCATAAGTAAGCGTTCAGTCTATCAAAGGTATCTTTAAATTTTTACAATATTCACTCACCTTTTAACAGCAAACAACTAATACAAAAATGAAGATGATTATATAATTATTTTGGATCTTTGAACAGCAATCGAGTGATACAGAAGTCGAGATTATTTTGGCCCAGAACTTCCTATACCAGAGTTATATCGTCTTTCAGACTTGGATGATCGCATCAATGACATACTGTCCAGTATAGTGTACTGTACACTGGACAGTGTACAGTATGTCAGCAAGGACCAATTATCGTGAACTGGTTACCTGCCCATACACACCGACGGACAGAAAGTGATACTCAGTTAGAGTCAGACAGACGGTGCTAGCGGACTTGCTGAACTTCTCTCTTTTCTCTAGTGCTTTTAATTTAATTTTATTTTATTTTATTAGTAGCCGTCAGAAGTATTTTCAAAGGAGAGTTTCTATTGCACGAATTGTAATCCGACCTTGCATATGCTGACATAAAGTTAATTTTAAAGGGGTACGATGTTGCGTACAGGAATCTTGCATATTGCTAATGAAGGCATAAATATTCTACGTATAGGTCTACTAGTTATTTTTAATCATTTTATACCATTGACCTCCATGCCATTTATGGTATAGGTAGAATATCGAAATGGCTTCTCGTATACAGTACTAGTTGAGACATCCGTTCGAAATGAACATGCAATATATATGTTACAGGAAAACCTAGGTTTGCCCTGCCTAACGGGCAAACTCAAGTTAGCCCGTATCGACAATGTTTGACCTATCGAAGTAGACTTACGTATGAAATTGTTTATTACCTAGAATGTCCATATTGGATAATTTAATCGTAGTAACATGTTTGTTATTGAAATACGTTGATAGCATAGTAAATAGGTTATATACCGATTAAAAGAGTATGCAAGTAGGACTGCGATCAATAAAAAGTGCTTCAGGTTAAGGCTAAGTTGTGTAAAAGTTATATACCGTATGTTATGTTAAGCAAATTAGTCTGTACAGCACTGCGCAAGAATTCCAATTACTATACCGTAGGCTAGAGAAGTAGTTATGCGGATTGAAGTAAAGTTTATTATAAGTGCTGTGTCATTTTCTTGTGTCGCAAGGGTAGTTGTGGCAACGTAGTAGTACTAGATGTGGCTACAGCCTACAGGACAGTTTTGGTTAAGTATCAACAAATACGATAGAATATAGGATACCAATAAGTCGATTCTAACGACTAAATGGTAAAGGGTAATAAATATTACATGAAAATAACAAAGAATTTTTATCATATGCAATCGACCTTTATTTATAGCTGATATAGTTTAATATAGCATCATGACAAGGAAATCGCATCAGTAAAGTATACAATTCACAAATACATATTTTAATCACTATAATGATCAAATCGAAAAAGTCCTTCAGTTCCTGGTAATAAAAGTTGAACTAATAAAAGGAAAATAACTGATAAATGTGCACGAATATCTTTATATTCCTAGCCATAATAAAATCATTAGAGCAATAAACAAACTTCAAAAAGATAATTTAAACCGATATGATAGAATAAGCGCATTAGATATTGAAATTATTACTAAATCCATTGTTAAATTAAGTCAATGTAATTTCGCCATCATTATTCCTTAATATCACACTACTTTCCGATTGGAAAAACTATTTAAATAAATAATGACCATATTTTAAAATTCATCATCAGAATCTTCTGTATCGCATTCGTCAGGTTTTGCTGCATGCACAGAGTGTCTCCTTTCAAGAAGGCGCTTGAAATTCCTACGCAAAATCATTGCACGGTTATCGCTTTTAATGAACGAAAATCTACATTATGTTACACTAAACTCTCATTTGTTTAACAGCAATTTGGAATAAAATAAGGAATGAGTAATAATTGCAATTGATGAAATTTACTTACGATTCTGTTGATGTTTGTGTTTCTGTATTAGAATTAAATAGTTGCTGTTGTTCGTCAGGATTTAATAGAACCGTCACTGTTGGACTGTGCCTAGCTCGTCGTGATCGAACTTTATGTCTTAATTTCGGACTACCTGCTGAAACACCCCCACCAGCTTTCTGCATAGTCATTATAAGTCATAATTAATTTATTATAAAAACTTTGCATATTTTAATACGCAGAATGAAGTAAGATATTGTTATTGGTCCATTCCTGAATCTTTATTCTACTCTAAGTTCAATCAAATGTACTATAAAGACATTGTATTTTTTAATACGCCGTATAAAGCTAGATATCATTTTGGCTCATTTCTGAATCTTAACTTGACTCTAAGTTTGCTTAGTTGGCTTATTAATTTTTGGATAACTCTATTACAATTTCAATAAGACTTACTGGAAATATACGCGGGATAATACTACTGCCAGAGGCACTAGCTTTGACGGTTTTATCATCTCCAGAAACTAGAATCCAAGCTCTATGTTGATGATTATATTGTAAATAAAGTAAGAAAAATCGTAAGAGTGTTTTATAATCCGTAAAATATCATATATCTATCAATGAGTTGACAGTAGTCAGAACATATCATAAATTAGAAGTTATATTTAGAATTGAAAGTAAAAGCAGCAAATAAGTGAGCAACGATGTAAATTCAAGGGACTGCTGATTTCATTATTTTACCTCTGCGCAGCTTTTCGCCGATTAGTGGTCACTTCGAATGTTCTCAAAGTTACTCCAAATATATCTTCATGATAGCGACCAGAGTCCTATTTAAAGAATTCAATTCAATATAGAAATTGCTGTTAACCAATTACATTAGTGATTCTTTAATAATAGTAGACGATAATTATATATTAATTTTATTAATAAATCAAATGTATCGTTTGGAAGATTGTAATTTACTCGAAGTCTGGTTATACACTCCTGCGATTCAGTACTAGACATTGCACCGTAGTCCTCCAAAACATTCTATATATTAAACAAGTAATAATTGTCAATATAATAGCTAAATTTAGCACTAATACTTATTTCTGATATTCCAAATTGTAATATATTTGTATTACTTTTACTAGCATACCTGAATTGTACGACCAACATCAGCAGACATAGAAACATCTCCACAAACGTAGATGTGCGCTCCATGATCAAGAATTAACTTACATAACTCGAAAGCATCCTTCTTTATTAAATCTTGAACATATTGCTGAAATTTTTACAGTGAAATATAGTTATCGTTATAATTTTGCATGCATCGATAAAACTTATGCTTTAATACTAAAATTGAGATTTTAAGTTAAATACTTTTGGCTTATGTTCTTGTCTAGAATAGGCTGTTTGTACATGGGTCAGTACGTGATCTGTCAACGCTTTTCGTAGCTCATCCTTATATATATCATCAGTCTTCGAATTTCGACATCCAAAATACAAGATCATTTCTCCAAAAACGCTCTTTGCAACTAAGATGCAAGCAAAAATGTTTATGCAGCCAAAGCTATTAAACAATTCCGACTTCTAGAAATAAATGGAGCTGTATACGATCAAATTCTATACCGGAACAATGATTTTTTGATTTTCCAGACACATCAGTTTCTCCTCGATCTTTGCTTCTCGTACCGGTAGGAGGGTAATCAGATGCATCAGATTGTGTACGTCGTAGATGCGATCTCTTTTTTTCAATGTTTGCTGCAAATTTCGAATGAGTTGAGATAGCAATATCTTGTTCAACTGGCCTGTGAGTCGATAAATTCATATCGTAGAAGCGTTGTTGCCAGAAGCTTCGGAAAGGTGCAATTCCGGTACCAGGGCCAATTAAGATTATTGGCACAGACACGTCTTCAGGCATATGAAAAGCTGCATCTCTAAGGATTCAAGAAGCGATTTAAAATGAGCATAGTATCTACCTTGAAGAAAATACTGTGAGTTAAACAAACATACGGTCGAACGAAGCACGGAATTGTTGCTCCTGCTTCTAGCCTTGTTAGCCAGTTTGAGCAAACTCCCTCGTGTTTAACCCCTAGACCTCCACTTGTTCTATAGCTGACAACAGCAACGGTGCAATGGATTTCATTTTTATGCAGTTTGGGCGATGAAGATATCGAATAGTATCTCTGAAATATTTCAGTAAAATATTAGCTTATATTTCACAATATATAACTGTACTTTGTAATTTTAAAATAACCAGAGAATTAAGTATGAGTATTTTATAGGTGTAGTTAGTATCTACAAAAAGAAAATTAATTAAATTTACTTGTTGCAACAACGGTAGTTGAGTTAACAACAATAATGGAGAAACTTTAAGCGAAGGAAATTCTTCAATAACTTCGATGATATGAGGACATTTTTCAAATTTCCAGTCTTCATATTTTTGTGAACCCTTTGAAATCAATAGAATTATATATTTTTATCGAAGCAAAATGGATTAGATCAATCGATATAAATACACTAAACATAATTAATCTAATAATTTTTAACATTAACTCACTCTTCCTAATAACTCTAATCGCTGTTTATCGGTATCACGAGCAGCCTTGATACAAATAGAATAGGATAAAGTCATTATCATCATATTATTATCCTTAATAGATCATTTTATAATTGAATGATTAAATAGTTTTACGAAAGGTGAATAGTAAATTTACCTCTGTAGCAAGGTGCTGCAGCATTTGAGGTGTTGGCGGAGTTGTTATATCCAGATAATAAGTAAAAGCATCGCGCAATGTGCAAGGTAGTGGCAAACGATCGAAAACTTGCCAAATCTTTTGACCTAATAAAATATCAAAGCGTTCACTTTTGTAACAGTATAGACTTTAATAATCATTACTTTATATTCTATTTTTAATTTCCAAATGTCAACATATATTTAATAGACTTAATAAGGGATATAGCTTAATTATAATCATGACTTATGCATATTGTTGTTTACCGGCTTTCTCCTGACAATACTCGATTTTAATGGGTTGATCTGGATCTGGGGCATCATGTAAAGCGTTAATTAATCGCTGGACTAAACGTGGATGATTAGCCGGAAAAATAGCTAGATGATCGCCAGGATGAAAAGATAATGATTTCTTCCCTTTTGTGCCGATACGCACCAATATAGTTGATCGACTAAATCAACAAATAAATCACCAAATATTGATAGTAAGTTTAAACATAGATGGAAATTACTAAATAAGAAAATAGATTTAACAAGCTTTTGCCATATATATAAAATAAATGATTATTAAAGTCATACTCAGAAGATGTCGATTGAAGGTTCTGCCTGGAAATCAATTTCCCTGAGATAACTTCTTTACCATGTACCTTAGATAAACCTATCGATAGATAATATAACTAACCTCAAAATTACAATATATATATAATCATAATAGTACTGCACTACTTGGAATTGTAAAAATGCTTTTAATTAGATTTTGCCTACTAACCGATGCAAATATCAGTTTTTTCTATATCAAGCGATTCTTCCTGCATACGGAATTTACCCGGATACCAGTGATTGCTGTTTTTATATAAAGTCGAAAGGGCGTCCTTCTTATCAATACTCTTTAGATGAAATGATTCACAACTGATCTAAAAACAAAATTATCCAAGCAAAATATTGAAATTTATGCTACTAGTAAAGTAAGATTAATCGGACTCTTTAGTACTAGAATTGAAGCAGCAACAAAATCATGGTATTAATGTAAAATGAATCCAACAAACAAGGCAATATCCCATTTCATTTATTTCTTACATGAAAGATTTCCTCTGTCCATTTGCGAAAAGAGTCTTCTTGCCCAAATAGTTCATCTCCTTCACCAATATCATGAATACGCTCAGCACCCATATGGCAAAGTAGCCGATCGACAGATCGAGCAAAGGCACAAAAGTGCGGATAAGCTCGCGAACCCAACCCGAAAACTGCATACCTTTAAATATTAAATAAGGTATTAATGACTCAATCACAATTTAAAAGTAATAAAAAATATATCCACTTATACAACAGCATTTACTTCATATTGCTGTAATTGCTAGATGCTATTCTCGAAAGCATAGGTTTATTGGAACCTCTCGGTAAATGAATACTTCTGCGATTTTCTCTTACTCTAATGGAGTCAATTTAAATTGATTTCTTAAAAACAGGAAGCTTTAATATATAAGATAGCATTAATAAATGCAATACTTGGCTCTGGGATTGCATCTTTGGTATAGATAGCTTCCAAATTTCTAATAAGAACAAAGAAATTGCATCATTTCCCGTATCGATATATGGGATAATTGTAATTTGTAAGCAAATCTCGAACTAATTAACTAAAAATCATACCACTCCGTTATCAGGTGGATCTCCGTTACCGAAAGTACTAGTAACAATAAGCAATAATTTTTCCTGAGACAGATTGCTCGGATCGTAGTCTTTCATGCAAACCAGCTATGATTGCAAAAGAATAACAATCTTAATGAGGACGTTACAAAATTTGTCAAATGATTCCGATCTTAATCGTTTTGGCTAATACCAGCTGATTTTAACACTTATTCATTATATTTTCAGACTGCTATTGAACATGTCCAACCTTAACATCAAATCCATAGGAAAATATGTTGGTTACAATTTTAGCGTAATATTCCGATTTTCCAGTCTCAGTAGCATATAGAATCGTAACTTTAGGACGTTTAGCCAAGGTATTCTTAATGAGATAATGGGCAAAGAGTATTGCACTAAACATGATTTAAAAAGTTTGTAAAATAATAAATTAAGTAGTCATTATATAAAGCTACTTAAGTAGACTCTATACGACAAATTAGCCAACAGTACAAGCATAATGTTCGGGTTTAAAGACCACATAAATTAAAAAATGACTGAAAGTTACCAATTTAAGCATGATACAAAACGATTAACAATCAGTCATACTTTCCAGCATTTTTAAATTTTATTCTTCTTTTTCTCTTTCTTTTATAATAATCAATCGCAGGATCCGGCTAAAATAAGAAGATATTTGGAGTTTGTTCATCAAATCATACTTATACTTATGCAATGAATTCATTTCAAATTCTACAAATTGTAAATAAACGCCACAATTTAAGGTAAAATAATTGTAGGCATTTTGCTACAGATTTCCATATCTCCTAACTAGTTACAGTATATACAACAGTGTAGATTCAAAAATTAATAGAAAGTATGGGTTAACCTGGTATTCAAATGATGGTTTCAATCGATAGCTCAGTAACTCCTGCCAGATTATTATACAGATTAAACCAATTCATGATTAATATTAATGATAAGATTAGATGTAATACGTTTAGTACATATGATTTGTTTAATGCATAACAAGAAAACTTTACTTGATGATAGACTTCTGAAGCACTGCCAGATAATGGAGGTACAAGCCAAACCCAGTCCGATGGACAGCCTCCTCTTATACTCGTCTTTAGTAAGTTATAAAGAAAGTAAATCAAACTAATTTCATCATACCAATATTAGGACCTATAATACTAACATTAGTTCTAGCAGCAATAGAAAAATGGAACAAGACATAACTATCAAGCATAAGACCTCAAGCAATTTACCTCGTGCTCTAAGTGATTCATGAAAGATTCAGAGACTGAATGATGATCTACAATAGTTACGTTATCTTCCTACATAGTTTACATAAATAAACGTAAATTAGAAAAATACGCGATTTAGCCCGGTTAGCAGCCAAGATATTTGCTATCAGGTACGGTACACTACCTAAACATTGACAATAAATCAAAACTAAATGGCTTTCAAATATTATAAAATACCTGGAAACTATACAGAACTGCTATATTTAATTCCACTAATGCTTTATCTTTCCATAATGATGAATTATTCTTAGTATCTAGTCCCATGTGTTGTCCTACCGTCTAATATTCGCAAAAAGGCAATTATATTAGTCTGTCTGCGAAGTATAAATAGGCAAGTAGAACAGTTATTATCTACCTGCTATCTTACCTCGCATACGTTATAGCGATAAGTATCACCTAAGTCTCGAGATCCAATTTCAGTACCCATGTACCTTCAATAATCAGTGAATTTATTATCAAATAGTAGACAGCAACACTATTTACACTCTTTTACAAATAGATCACATTATGATGCTTATAAAGTAAGCTAGATTACCATCGATTAGACTAACAAGTCATCTTGTTAAACTAAACCCCTTACCATCCATTAAATGGTGCACAAGGAAACTCAATTCCACCGACATCAAACATCATATTTGCGACAGCTGGCAAAGCATACCATTTCAGACCCAGGTTCTCAAACCAAGGATACCTAAGAAATGAAAGTATAAAATATTGCACTGAAACCAACTTATTTACACGGAATAAAGGACTAATCTATACGAAGATATTTATTGCTAGTGACTATGTAACGGTTGGTTCATGATCAAGTAAAAGTAGAAAATGTAAATACGGTAATTGCTTCCTTACTTTGGATGGCGTAAACAAACTTCCAAGACAAGTTCCGGAGGTATCTCATAAAATTGTGGTTCACCACCGTTTGCTTGCAAAATCAAAGGAAGGACATCAAATCTTCCACCAGACCCTCTCCAGCCAAAGCTTAGACATAGCTTAGAATGTTCATATCAATTTCAATTATGATTTAGTTGCAAATATCTGTAATTTTTACTGCGTTATGTCAAAAACAATCATCAAAAGTTACCTCAGTAAATTCAACTGTTGCTCTATCACCTATGATTGAACCATCATCCATCTTATAGCCAGCATAGCGAATTAATTGAGCATTCCATATTCGAAAGTCGTTTTGTTTACTTCCATTTCTTGGAGCAAAGATAGTAAGAACTGATCTGTTGGAGAAATTGAGTTTAGTCAGCTTCATAAAAGACCAATACGGAAGTAGAAATAGAGAAAGAGCATCTCATAAGGTATACATTACTTGTTACTTTCAGCTATATCCTTTATATCATTTAATACTAGCAAAGTTTGAATATAATTTCATATTTTATTTGGCACTAAAATACTGTAAAATAGCACACAGTTCTAACTCCACTACCTGCTCATGCGATATTCTAAATGTTAAAATCACTTGCTAATCACATCCATATCCCACTCCTTAATATTGCAGACTTTAAATTTGACTTAATATTTAATTTGACGTTAGTACTGTGTCGACAGAGTAAACTGTTGAGATTGTATAACTATAGTTATCATCATATTTTAGATGGCGGCAATAAATTACTATAGTACTAAGGATCACAAAGCCTAAATAATCATTTTTTATGTTCAACAATTTTATATCATGCCAAAGAAACAATTATTCAGCTATCACGAAGTAAATTTTTTGTGTACTTTTAATTCAAACAGTTGGTTACAGGTTATTATACTAGCAATATAACCTTAAGTTGCCGTTGTTAGTAGCATATTTTAAATGCTCGCATATTGCTTGAAACATTTCATCAGTTGTCTTCACGTGCCTTGCATCAAAAACCTGTGGTGCAAAAATTGGATATATTGGTTTCATTACTGTTTGTTTCAGCTATAGATACAAATCCCAAAAGCCTTAGAGCAGTTACTATGAGCTATAAAAATAAGTAATAGAGCAAAACTTTGAGCTCTCAAATTGTATGAAGCTATCCCATACTTTTAGTCGAGACCACTGAATGCGACCAATACAACGCGTTGCATTTCTCCAGGCTAATTTAGCTCCAAAGACCAATTCGCTATATGTCTGTTCATAAAATCCAGTCTGTTCTACATCTTCAATGATTTGCTCTAGGCGAGCTAGCTCTTCTTTTTCAAAATCAATATTAGAGTTCGGGTTTTCACTGTAAGAACAAAATATAGATTTATTGAAAATGTAAGGAACACTTAGCACTATGGAAATTGGTAGATAGTCCAATTTTTTCCAGTAAATATCATTGTTTCGTAGACATTAAATTATTCTATGTTTTCAACTTACTTCCTTAAATTTAGGTAATATTCTCTGATAAAATTAACGGCTTGGTCAATGATATATTGCCGATAGCTTTCGGTAGTATATTCAGGTTTCTGTTCTGGCAAAAAATTCATGCTAGAACCGTAGCAGACCTGGCTACCACAAGTCATTGGCTACGTAAAGATAATCAAGAATATTTAGATTATGTTAATTAATTCCCATAACACATAATTGTTTACAAATGAGGTAGTTGAATAGTGGCGGCACTAATAAGAATTTCTTCTATTTAATTTAATACTTGTCATAAAATAAATTATGCTTAAGTGCTAATTATCGCTTACGCATTTGGCTTTCTTGTGAAGAGTATCGTGTAGATAACTGCTGTTAGACCAGTTCTTTAAGCGAATAAAGCCGTTTTTAGATGTATCTTCTTCTGCAATAGCACCAGGTATTTCTTTACCATTAATTAATAATTTGGTTAAATGCTTTTGACTGCCCTGAGAGCCATCGCTTTGACAACGACGAGATCTTGTATAAAGGAGCTTATTAATTTTCGATTTATCCGTAGTAAGATCTTCTAATACAGCTTCCTTGGTCCACTTCTTAGCCGGTATTTTATCTACCTCGGAATTTTTTTTTACTCTGAGATTTACTCCATCAACAGGCTGTTCTGGGCAATCATTCTGACTGCCAATAGCATCGTCATCGCTTGCCATTAATTCATCGATATTGATTTGTGCGATCGGTGATGCTTTCTTACCATTATTGCTATCTTGACCGTGGTCTTGGTTATTATTACTTTCAAAAGTACCATCCAAACTAGGATCTCTTCCCAGACCAATTTTCCTTTTAATCTTAATTCTTGAATTGCCGTTCAATTTTGTAATATTTTCGCCTCCGTTGTGATTATTAGAATTTAGTAGCTGATGTTTTGATCTAATAGTCAAATTTACCATATCATTTTTTGAATTTTGATCAATAATATCATACATGTCTTCTACTGATTGATCCGCTAGTGATATATCATTAACGGCTATCAATAGATCGCCTAATTGCAATTCACTAATATCTGGATTAGCTTTATTGTTTTTGTTGTTATCCACAATGTGAGATACTGTGCAGTAAGTCATTGCGTCGTAATTCTTGACTTGAAAACCATAATTTTCACTGATGTTATCTTTAGTAACTTGGATAGTTGTATCGCGTAACTCTTCCATCTTGTTTACTGAAATTAATAATTTAGATTATTATATTTCGATCTGCAATCACACAGGGGTACAAAGAACTGCTGTTATTATTATTATAGCAGCACGTTACTAAGCAAATCTTAGCTGGAGCTAAAATGAGGATGACATTTATAACAACCGTTACGAATATGGCAGAATGATTCGCAATCTTATAATAGTAGAACTAAAAGATCAATCGGTGTTAGCTTTGATGTTGCATATGATATAAACTGATTTGTGATTCCTTTAGCTACAAAATCTAATGATAATGGCTGGATTTTATTTCATATTCTATCATACTTGCTATCTTACCGCACTACGAATCAATATTAACACTGATCTAAACACTAAATACTGGGTAGGCCCGATTAGATATTTATAGCCTTAGATCATCTAAGAAATTAATTTTCAACTAATGTTCTCATTAGTGGCTTTAACCTTATGTCGTCTAATAAAGTATGCTTAATGGGCTTTTTCATTAATATTAAACCTGCTTAATATCAAACGATTAGGCTGCTCAATAAGCCAATAATATAACTTAATATAAGAAATTGAATTGATTAGATTAATTTCGAATCAACTATAATAAGTAAGAGATATCGGCCCGAATGCTCAAATTGTAGCTCTCCCTCTGACTAGATATTACAAAATAAAATCGAAGGAGAATGTAATATTTAGTGTGTTAATTGTAATGAAGTTTGTAAAATTGGTTATAAATATTAAAAAATAACGCCTTAGTTATTAAATTTCGCTCCATGTCGTCCGACGTAAAATTAAAACAACATCGTCGAAATTTAGCCTACAAGAATAATTTCTAGAACATATTATAGATATATGGTTTCTACCGTAACATGTGTTTATTCCTTGCAGAGGAGGAGAAAAATAAAGCTCTCAAATCAAATTGTGAGGTTACTGTAAAACTATATTACTTAAATCTTTTAAGAGGTAGATCTGATGTCTTCTGTATCCATAAATATAATAACTAAGTTTTGAACTTAAAGTCCTAGCGAAGGAAAATGAGAAATATCATCTCTGAATCTTTCTATTTTTACACGCCTTACTAGATTTAAAAAAAAATTCATGTTTTACATTGCACCTAAATTATTTTGAATTAACCTTTCATTCCTGTTCAATGTCCATAGCTATTAGTTTATGTAAACATTACAAGATAATTTATTGTTATAAATTGGCTAACGTGAATGAGAGGCAAGGCTAAATCTATAACAAGTAAAATTACGTAGATGGGCAGTCCACCTAGCAAAGTAATTTTTTCCTGTTGTGAATGAATTCGATACTAACTGCGAAGGACATGGTAAATTAATATAAGGCAAAGAAAGTACTGATTTTAGAAATTAAAGCGGGCATCAAATGGTTTTATTGCTAAGTGATCGAGTGGGAATGGAAGATTTTGTCGTACTACTATTTTTAGTATGAATGGACACATGGCAATTTAATTTACATATTTAGAATATTTATGCTTTATCGTAGATCAAAAATGATTGTGATTCGATTGCATCGTAGTAATAAATCAACAATAAAAGATCACTATTCAAATAATCTTTATAGATTATGAATTTTTCACTGCGACTAAAAAATAATACGATAGAAGATAGTACAGTTCGTTCCGCGAATCATCTAACATTAGTTGAGAATGGACTATGGCCGAAATGGCAGTTTAATAAGAACGCAAGTAAATTATAAAAGCGACATATAATATTAATAAAGCACTTTTCAATTAACAAATTTAATTTCAATATAATATGTTTCATTCAAGACTGATCATTAGTTGGATTTTGTCCTTTCTAATTTATTTAGATCTTCATCTGCTTCTCATAAAGTCTATGCTCTGATTCTATTTAAATCCGACTAAAAAAGCCTTCACGAAATTTAGATTCGCTGTCGTAATCTCCTTATAAATTTGTGGTTTGCTTCTAATAATCACTTATGAATACTTTTTAATTGCAAATGATCGTAAAGATAGATATTCAGTACCTGTATGGAACGGCTACGGTAGTGATCAATTATCAAATTGAGTAGTATATTTAGCCAGTCTATATTCTCATTAAATTGAAGGGGAAGCTTTTACTTTTACAAAACAGGAATAAGGAAGAAAGATAGTTAGAAACGGATACGTTGGCAGTTGCTAGGTGTTTATTTCTTGCAATTGTTAACCAATGAACCTTATAACGCTGTTAAAGTATAATAAACGTAAAGTTCGATTTGTTTTGAAATCAATCCGGGGCTAATCAAAACAAACAGTTGTCTAGGTAGTCAAAGCATATGCAAATGAACAGCTCCCGATGACCAATATATCTGCTAAAAATTTGTTCGCAATGAAAGAATACATGGTGTCGTCGGTACGGTGCATTCGCTAATTAAATAGTCATAATTAAAGATAGGTGATACTAAGTTTTTAGTACTAGATGAAGAACATGTCACTATGATCATAATCATCAAAGCCACACGTAACTGATAGGACTAATAGAAGTAAGATGGGTACTTGCACCACTTTATGCTAGGTAATGATATTAATTTGTAATTTACATATAATTTACTCTGTGTATGGGCCTATATATGTACATAAATACTACTGTAGCTTATAGCATTATATCAAAGTGAGTGTATGATATGCTATCCATACAGCAATAATGACTTATGGCTCAAATTTCTTAGCAATAGATAGTAAAGAACATCGTTACTAGTATCAAAAGTGTATACTATAAACAGAGGACGAACTAAAAGGAATGTTTATATTAGAACCATATGGTATTATTTAAGTCTCTTGATCTTAATCTTTAAAGTGATCATATGATTATTAGTAGACATAACTATGTAAAGTGAACTTTAAAGAACCTCAAAGTTAAGCTATTTCTTTCTAAAATTTTCAGTCTTTACTCATTGAGGAATATGCATGTATAGTAGATACTATGCATACTATTATAGTGAAATTTCAATATCTTTAAAAAACGTTAAAAAATCTTAATCTTAATGTATCTGGATTATCATTCGACGATATCAAACATTAAAATACCAATCGAAATTAGTTATACAGATATGGGACAGATAAAAATCTTTAGTTCATATATTAGATACGGTAAATGAAATAAAATTTGAACGATTAATTATACCAATTTAAGAGTTACCGCAATTCTGTTTTTTCATAATCGCGATAAAGTTAGCATCTCAGGATACAACCGACGATATTTATAAAGTTGTTATGAATAATTTAAGTATATCATCATTGCATTTACTTACCAGATAATAAGCCGGCAACAATTACTGCAGTTTTGCTGCTTTCTGGGATAGGATACGAAGATTTGAGTAGGTTTTGGCAAAGTTTAACGAGATAAGATTAAAACCTTTTCTTTATCTGATTTACGCGTATGCTCATTTACCATTAAAACTCTATCTTGACCTCAAGATTTTTCTCCTTCGATGGCACTAAGTTTCTAACATGAAAATTTTATTAAACATCCATCAATCTAACGAAGTAGAGACGCAAGTTGGTTAATAAATGAGGATGCCAAGATTAAAACTTCAGCAACATAAAAAATTGACTTTGCTTTTGGATATTGAGATCTTTAAACTCGTTTTCACCTACACGTACCAATGTGGAATGGAGGCGATGTTATC